CAATAAAAATATTGACTGGCTCTTTCAAACTTGAACCTTAATCTGTTATTATCTCACCTAAAATTAATTTGTGTAGCGCACTCTATCAACTATCCATAGTGCATAACAATTCCTATAGGCAATACAATATGGATTTGAAATTGCCTCTAAGTTGACTTTTTTTCAAAACGAATTGATAAATGGTAAAATTGCACTAAAAAGATACATTGAAACTGATTGCTGTTAATACAGTCCCGCATAAAAACGTAAGTTTTATAACGTTACGATCTCAATTTCCTAACTCATAACTGGTATATGTTTTTTATACATTAAAATAGGGAAGTGAGCGACGAAATGCCAAATGACTTGGCAAAACATGTTCCATCCTACGCCTATTACAAGTTTAGCAGAAAGCTTGGAACTAAGCGAAACCATGCCGGGAACATTCTGAGAAAGCATCTCAACGACTATGAGCAGGCAACAAGAGAGTGCATTGCGATTTGGATGGATAAATCAACCCATAGTGTGGCTGACTTACATGAAGTTCTGAGAGCAGCTGAATTGGGAGATTTAACCAAACACTGTAATTAACATCAATAAAAAGTAAGCCAAGTGGGAAAATTGTTGGTTAACACGCACACAAACACTCATGAACACATTATACTGTGCATATGTTCGGTGACAGAGAAGATACGCCTATGACCAAAACACTACAATAAATAACTATAGTACATCAATGTATACACAATTTGTAATTTTAATTGATTTGTAATTGCATGCTCATTGAAAATTATCATTCTTGCTACGGCTTTGTTCATTATTCACTCATATTCTTTACTTATTTCTATTATATGTACTATGTATTGATGTTTTTTGATGATGTTCATATTGTTTATATTTTTCAAGTAGTTTTTATCTTCATATTGTTATGATGTATTTGTTCACAGGGCCCCCTGGAAAACAGTACTTTGATTACTGACGGGGCTACCATGTTTAAATAAAACGGAATCAAAAATATAAAAAATAAATAACTATATGTCCAATTACTAGGGGGGATATCAAAAAATATAAAAAACATTTTTGGCTCAAAATTTGTATTTAACACATTACCATAACTCCATGAAATTGATATCAACTTAAAGGTATTTTGATCATCTATCATATGACACCAAATCCATGATTATTTGAGGTTTTACTTAAAAATTTATTGTTAAAATTTGATTTAAACACACCAAATGCGTTTTCAATACCAATACACCAATACACATAATTACATGCATACAGTATACACATATGGGCAAAAATGTAGTCTTTGTGAAAATCAGCTCTTCACCATAAAGAAATATATGCCTCTGCTTTGAATTTTTTTTGGAAGGATACGAAAAAAGACACCTCCCCAATTTTGACACATAAAAATAAAAAATTTCAAATTTCAAACTTAAAATTGTGATGTCATCTAGCATTCCTAATTCCTGTAAAATTTGGAAAAATATAGAATATAGAAGGTGTGCATAGTTTGTGAATTAGTGGCAAGCAAACCCCTCTTTCCTGACTTGGGCCCTCTGCTTAATAGGTTTTTTTTTAATTGCCCATCGACCTCTTCAGGCTAGACACAGTCTTGGCTTCTTTTGCATCCCTCATTTAAGGTAAGCCTTAATTGTCATTGAGTGATTCAAAATGGACAACGTTTACCCGGGATGCTACTTTTTTTCTCAGGAAACTACCTGTTTACTGTCTTTAATCATCATGACTTTCTTTTCTTACATTTACTGAATCTTTGAAGAAATTATACCTCTGAGTTCTCTTGTACTGTTTGAGACACTACCTTAATACGCACCTTAAGCATGTGAAATGGTGCAATGGACAAGTGAGGAATTATATTTTAGATATCACAAGACAAGAAGGCAGCAGGCTATTACAGATAATTCAAGATTACCCTGTGGATTGAAACAAGATCTGCAGCATGTAACAAAATTGACCTTATAAATGGATTTAAAGACCAAGACATGCATATTGCCTGACCCACATTCTGTTCATCAACCCAGCTTGGTAAAATATTTTGATGACACTTTGAAAGAAACATTGGTGCTCAGTCATAATCATTGCAACATAAAATGATGTACGTGAATGTGAAAAGCCATCTACATGCCTCAACGTGTTCCGTAAAATCAATTGAAAATGACGGTACATGCTTTGTGCTATGAAGTTCAGTCCAAGACCAAGAAGATTAAATATGTTGTCAATATATCAAATATATAATCAATGGCCTCTTCAGGAAAGTGATGAATTGGATTTATTGAAAATGTTAAAGTTTTATGTATGAAGGACACCAAAGTACATCAGAAACCAAACAATCATGAATATCCTAAAATAATGATATAAATGTGTACATTATGTAATTATGACCTTAATTAAAGCTGTATTAAATTGTAGTGGATTTAGTCAGTATTTTACTTAGCATTTACCAAGCTAAGTATTTCTTAACTTAAATTTCAGATCACATGTGAGCATTTTACTTTAGCAAGCCGGCTTTAAAGATACTATTTCCCTTTTGCAGCCAACATCAAATTCTGTAGAACTTTCAAGTGCAGGAATTATGAATATCTCATGTTTGTTCTATTTGTGAAATTTAAACGTTAGCAGTGTCCTAGTATTCAAGTTATGCAAGGAAACCTGTATACCTTCTAGACTTCACTGTCAGACAATATTGAGTGACTGACTGACTGACGTCTTTTTTGTCTTTGGTAATAACATACATAAAATGAGCTGTAACAGGTACATGAGCATTTGTCTTCATCAATAACCCACTACTTGTAATAGCCAAAATTAAACTGATTGAATCTTTGTGCAGCACATAACGTACAACCATTCAGTAAAACGGTATATAAATCAGACTATTAATTAGGTGATTGCAATCTATTAAATCGGTTCAACAACTTATGTTTGTTTTTTCCCACTAAAAGCCTATTTCAAGCGCTCTCGTTTTGAGGGAAGTTCTAAATTAGTATTGTCTTTCAAATGCCGTTGGAATTTTGAATTTAACCTTTTTAATCATTTTTTTGGCCTGCAAATGGGACATAGTACCTTTAAGGTAAAATACTTACTGATAATCATTGCAACAGAAAATGATGTGAATGAGAAAAGCCATCTATTTGCGTTAACGTTAAAATCAATTGAAAATGACAGTACATACTATGTACTATGAATTTCAGTTCAAGAAGATTAAATATGTTGTCAATGTATCAAATATATAATTTATGGCCTCTTAAGGAAAGTGATGAATTGGATTTATTGAAAATGTTAAAGTTTTATGTAAAACTATATTAAAGTATTTCAGAAACCAAACAATCGTGAGTATCTTAAAATAGTAATATATATAAATGTGAACATGGAACAGATGACAATATAATAAATGTTTTGGAAGCTTTTCAAAATTGATTTAGGCCACTTTACAAGTTTTGAGATTTTCACAGTGCAAATCCATGCACGTCATTAATTTTGTATGGGAGCTGTCTTAAACTTTAATGTAAAAAAAATAGCTAAGATCTTCAGCCGAAAAGCAAGTTGAATATGAAGTTTTATTTAAGCCGAGAGTAAAATAATAATATATCTGGCATAACTATTGAATTGAATACTGGCCCAGAGCAGTTATTAATCACTGCAGTACTAATTGCAAGGCAGAGGTGTCATGGTGAAGAGGTTAGAACACTCAACTGCAAGGGTTTATGGTCTACTATTCCAATCTCGCCAAGAGAAAGATGTCTTTCATTTATGTACATGTACTGTAGTTTTTTATCATGTTGATACAATGAAAATATGTGTATTACGTGGTTGGAATAAATTACTATACAATCTTTATCGTTGTTTTTTATCAAAGTGTTATGAAGGATGTTACAGAAAACTTTAATTGGTTGGGGTAATTATAACATGTAGTTTATGCTTCTACCAACCTTAAAAATTTAGAAGGCAAGCTTTCGCCAACTCCTGTGAACTTTCTCAAGCATGTTTTAATGCTATGTGTTATGCGCTATACAAGAACGGTTAATTATTATTATTATTAAAGTGATTATTCAGAGTTTCCTTCGACTGGCTGTCCACTGTCACCTATTTTCGCTCCGGTGATCTCAAGGCAGCAGACATCAGACATCAAGAAACTAAATGATCTCTTGACTTGAGAAAGTCCACAGGAGTAGACGAAAGCTTGCCTACTAAATTATAAGGTTGGTAGAAGCTTCAAGTACATGTTATGATGAGGGATGTGTTTGGTAAAATTATATACTTTTTTTATTACAAACTTTCCTTTCCTCGTCAAGCTAATCTTGCTGATCATTTCCCCTCACTGAATCTTTCCTTTCATTTTCCATTTCTCTTTCCACCCATAGATCATGTTTAACGGGAGGCTCAGTGGTCTCGTAACCGGGAGGTCCAGGATTCGAAACCTAGTCGATGTGCTATGTACTCCTAATTACCCCTTACCAAATCCCTCGGAGAGAAGGTTGAGTTCTTGGAAGAGCTAGGCGAGAAAATTATTTGTGAGCGTTATCATTGTTATTATGCAAGTGCGGAAGAACATAATAACAAATGTTCCCTGTAAAGCATGGCTCTTCAAATACCTTAATATTCTAAATATGGCAGCATAAAAATCAGGACGGATTTGTAAGCCACATGTTCGTGTAGTCCCATATACAAATTTCTGTGTACAGTGCTTTTAAATTTACCAAGACTGGGCCAAATTTCTTATCATTTTGACGTTTTCAGAACCTTGCAGTACACACCAATACTTATATGCTAGATGATCAACCTTGTTTCTTTCACAATGCAATCGCATGACCAGAACTCAACTTTATTTTTAAAGCTATCAGTTTCCTGGTTTCACGCAATGTCAGGGCGATGTTTTGTAAAATATACCCCTCACATCTACAAATGTTCTGGTCCGATTTACCCGACACTTTGTGAAACCCCCAAAGATTCAAAGTAAGCCGGTACAGACGGGGCAAATGATAACAAGAAAAAACAAAGACTGGTGTATTACCATTTTTATTGTACAAGTACATGTACTCATCCATACGCACACTACACATCGATGCCTTCAAGAAAATATCACCGCACAACTTGGCAGCAGGAAAACACAATGTTGTTCAACATAATCTTCAAATCTGTATGTACAATATCTCATGTCATTGTTCTACTCAGATTCCTTGATTCTTACATAGAAGACCTGTCATACTTGGTTAATAAGTCAACATAAACTACTATGTTTGGGCTTGTTGGAAAATCACTAGAAATTGGGATATAAGGTTTAATTCAGCAGTAAACTTAATGAATGAGAAGGACGTATAGATGTAATACAGGGGCATAGAATCTTGAGATTAGCTTCCAATCTATCCAATTTCCACACAAACGATCCTTTACTACATTAACAGAATGATGGATATTTTCAATAGATGTCAGTATTTGGTACTCTATAAATCAGTAGACTTCATCTACCCACTTAAACATGGACTAAGTTTACGAGTACAAACCAATCGGGACCAATCAGGGTTAACCTCTCACAATCAACTGGCATCTGAAACGATGGTTTTGATTGGTTGAATCAAAAAGTGATTTAATCATGCACATGGGACTATAGCTTTCAAACTTTGTTTGGTTTCAAGTTTTCTCAACCAAGAGTTGTCAAACGGCTCTATGTGATCCTGAAACACGCAATGAAACCAGCTGTGCATGTAAGTCATCTCATAAATTTAAAAGAAAAGAGTTAAAGATATATACTTGCAAGAGACAGGATTTACCAAATGCTATTGAACAGGCTTGACTCTTGGCATTCTTACGCAGCATGCTGTCCATTTTGAAAAGGCAACAAAAATAAAGTTACAAAAATAGCGATATATATATAGATCTTGAAAAGATAGTGAATTTGAAATCAAAGCATCAGCACAATGTAAAAAAAAAAAAATTAGAAAAGAATTCTGATTATTACTATCAAGTTGACATCTCTCTCACACACAAACTAGCATGCATATTATATTTACAGCTAAGTATAATCTTGAATGCGTATGTAGGTAGCATTCATACCAACACTGATCAGGATAGTATACAAGGGTGTATTAACCGGTTGACTACCGAATTCTCTGATTCATTGAAAGCTTTATACAGGAATGACCAGGTTTTAGTAGGCAACAGGTTAACATGAATAAAGCCTGTACATGGCTATATATATTACGTCTACTAAACATTTAGAACTGCATTTTACAGTGCCCCACTAACCGATACTAAACATGCATCCAGGATTATATGTACAGGCATGAATGCATTGTTTCACTGGGTGAAAAAAGATCTTCACACTTTATAATCACAAAATGGTAATTCGCCCAAACTCTCCTAACTGCCAGTGTCTTGATACATATATTCATTGTAGTATTTGCAGGACAGTTATATGCTCTCATACCGTTTCTTGCTCTACAAAATGGGAATTCCCCCAAACTGCCAGTGTCTTGATACATATATTCATCGTAGTATTTGCAGCACAGATATATGCTCTCATACCGTACCTTGCTCTACATGACACACACATGTAATAAACAATGGATAGCGCACTTGTATAGATAGACGGAGGTGCTTATGTACATACAATGTAGAAAACTTGCAACAACAAAAAGACAATAGGATTTACTTTTCTATTATACAATCATTTCACACCACAATACTTTAGCTACAATGTCATAACTGTGAACATCTCCAGAATATATTATAAAATCAATACATTTCAACATTTGTAAACCTTCAGTTTTTTAAAAACATGGTTTCCAGTTTTCATTTAGCCTGAAAACATTTCAGGTTTTTAATTCGACATATGAGGATATATTAGATGTACTGCACAAGCATGTCTATTCGTTTCAATTATCGTGTACATGAATGTAACAGATTATACAATAAATCAAGTTCATTAAATACATCTTATTCTCTCTCTCAAAGACTATCAAATGGGCCGCAGTTTAGCTCAGATCGAATTAGACACCTATATCTTGAAGAATTGCAAAGCTACAAAGTTGTCCAATCTTGGTTTGCATAGTCAAAATAAACTCAAATTACAAGAGTATCATGAAATATAGCAGAGTGGCCAAGAAAAAAATAAGTGAGGAAAACATATCTATGTTGTTTGTTTGTTGAGAGCAATGGCTGCATAAACTCAAATACTTTTACACAGACCTTCTGTATCTAAACAGGGCCCTGTTCCATAACATTTGTTATCAATAGCAACTGCTCAATGTCTATGACAAAGTTGCTCTCAGCCAATCAAATGCCACAATTTCAGTAGCTTATAACAGTTATTGAAACTTGTTGCTGATAATAAGTTTTGTGAAACAGGGCCCAGATGGTGGGGTAGGTTGTCCTTTAAATTCAAAGTACATCGTATTATCTTAAACTGATGTATAGGCCAGGAGCATAATACATCCATACGCTAAGCTCAATCAATTTGAGGGAAATATTAGAACAATTTTAGATCAAGAAATGAAAGATTTGTCATGTTACAGACCCTGGGCCATATTGCACAAATTTACTGAAAATCAAGATTAGCATTGCTGGTTCATTTGACAATACTATTACTAGCATAACACACAACCTAGAAGATAAAGCTCTTGGAAGAATACTTGAAGGGGGCCGTTTTTGTTTGTGTATTCACAATGGAGCTGTTATGTAAAGTAATCCACTCCTCTCCTTCACATTTTTCAACATTCTGCAAAGATTTTAACATTTTTCAATGAAACATTTGTGATCAATTTCATAGGGTGCTGTAATTTGATAATGATGAGCAAGTGAATACATACTGGCACCAACATTAATTGTTATCATCACTTTGCGAACAATTCAGATTAACTGTTACTACATATGCATTTTGTACACAAGGCCAATCCGTCACAGGCTACACACAAGTGGAGTAATATTACTGGTCAACAAGAAAAGCAAGATACAAACTTGTATTGTGCAGCTAAACCCAATTCCTGTGCATCGCATATATTTACAATATACATGTCTAGAATTTTGTACATTAGAATGCTGATATTCTTATGGTCTGCTCATTTATACTTTGTAAAATGTACATTTGTACAAATGTTGTAAAATGTACATTTGTATACACATCATTTATACGGCAAGTCAAGAAAGCAGTTCATTATCAATTACCTCCTATATACAACAAATATTTTCAACAGATCGCTTTGAAGTGTGTTTTGATAAATAAATTCAAATGCAAGACATATTCAGTATCTGTGGGTGGGATAAGGAAAAAACAAACAGAAAGATGAAAGCAATCTCATCTTTGAAGGCATAAACAAGATAATAAGCTGTACAGAAAGAAAGAAAATGAAAAGGAAGCTCAGGGTTCAAATAAAAGAAAGATGGAAAGACTGAAATAGGTTTTGGATGTATGTGTGTAATTTGGTTTTTACAGATGTTTATCAATCAGATATGATTATTTACGTCTGGGACCGACCTATAAAGTTGCTCAAGCGTGGGTATATAGTCGTTCGTGAAGTAGGCAACTTGGCGATCACTACATAACACTGAGCAAATGGGTATTACGCTCCTGTGCATGCGTACGTGTGCTGCCCTCTACAACCCACGCTTGAGTAACTTTAACCTTTTCAAATGGCAAAGGATATTCGATGAGCAGACTGAGTCAAGCATTACACTGATCGGCTATGCTTACTGTACTCCGTGCGTGTGCCATTACACCAGGCTTGCAATAATTGCACCAACAATCCTCTCAAGACATGCACATCATGAATTACTTGATACTGGTTTACTGCCAACTACAGTCAAACCTGCTTTAGTGACCACCTGTCTACAACAAGCACATTTTTTGTTTCCCTTGAAAATGGTTTCTCATTGAAACATGTACTAAAGGAACCTGTCTACAAAGGCCACCTGTCTACAAAGACCACTTTTTGTGTTTCCCTTGGGCGGTCGCTATATACAGGTTTGACTGTACTTGCAAAATTTCTTGCAATTGTTCAATTCTTTAAACAAATCTTCATACTCCAGTTCCAGTTAGGAGACCAACAACGGCCCAAACAAACATTACCCCTCGCATGACCAAGCATCCGTCAGTTTGGACATGTGAGGAAGGTATAAGAAATAAATACATTGTAGGGCTGTTCTTATGTGCTTTTACTTGAAGGAATTCTTGACGCTCTCAAGTGTACAAAATTCAGAAGCTGTTCATAGATGTGATTTTACTTGCAGGAGTTCTTGACGTTCTCAAGTCGACAGGGTTCAGCTAGAAGCTCTTCATGAAAATGATTTTACTTGCAGGAGTTCTTGACGTTCTCAAGTTGACAGGGTTCAGCTAGAAGCTCTTCATGAAAATGATTTTACTTGCAGGAGTTCTAGACAGTCTCAAGTCTACAGGGTTCAGCTAGAAGCTCTTCATGAAAATGATTTTACTTGCAGGAGTTCTAGACAGTCTCAAGTCTACAGGGTTCAGCTAGAAGCTCTTCATAGAAATGATTTTACTTGCAGGAGTTCTTGATCTTCTCCAGTCTTTTCTTAAGATCATCCACGTCTGGTAATGGAGCCAGCTGTGGTGCTGTGGCAGGAAGATTGGACGAACTACTTCCTAAGGAGATCTGGAAAAGAATTCAGAAATAAGAAAGTAATAAAGAAGTTGTTTTCATGGAAAGAAGAATGTGGAGCAACAGGATATGAAATGCTGAAACGGATGGCTCAAAACAGAGGAACTTGGAGAGACACTTGATATAAAATTTTGGTTGGGGCACTGAACCTGTCATCAACTGACAGATCACTATTAATGATGAAAGAAGTTGCACTTCATGGTCTTAAAGGGATCGTTTAACAATGTTAAATCTGAGATACACGGTCCTACGTGTTGTCAGTGTCTGTGACATCGTGTAAAATTGCAGCCCTAAAAAAATTGGGCTTCAAAATGATCAAGAAGTGCCTCAAAAAAGTAAAAATCTTTGAGTGACCGGTTTTACCATACACGTTTTCCCCAATAGACTGTAGTGTTATGAAAACCGTCAGGCGAACGGTTTTCAAAATTTGAAATTTCAATCATAAATATCTTGATAATCAGACAGGCGATCGGCTTGTAAAAGTCATGGGGTTCCTGACTGACCTAAAGGTTTATAATTATCATTGCATCATGAGCTAAATCCAGAATCTAAGACAAAGTTACCGGATCCCTTTAATAGTGGGGATAAGTACAGACTTTTGCTATCTTTGCCCCTATAATTGTCCATATTGATTTCAACCCAATGACTACTGAAAGGGATAGTTGAGTACTGCTTCAAAAAAATATGATGACCGTTAATAAATTATTTAATTAAAAATAACAATACATGGGCCGGCTGGTTGTGCGTAATATAACCAACACATTTTAAAAATGCCAACAAAAAAGCCAACATCAGCATTGGCTGAAATACGACGTAAAAGGCGCTATTTTGTTTTTTCAAATTATCTAATATTTGTGGTGGTACACAAGTATTATAAATGGTTATATTTATGGATACTTCAGCCGTCTCTAAACTGATTTGAATCAAACAAAGATGATTTTGTCATTTAAATTGTATGTTCTTTCAAATTTGACACTAGGTTTTTCATTATCTCACAAAAAAAATCATTTTGTGTAGCGCCCTCTGCAACAGAACTCGGCTATCCCTTGAAGTAATTTATGTATACTTATGAAGGAATCACCTAGTTTTTTGTATAGACAATGGGTTAATAATTCTAGCTGTTCTGTTAGCGGGTCGTCAGTTTCTATGTCATAATTTGCTGACACCAGACTCGGTGGAAATACCATTATTAATCTGCACACAGCAAACCCATAGTCCATCAATAAATACACCCTAGTCTCTCCAAGAATCTTTGGGTGGGGGGGGGGAAGTAAGATAATGACTACCATATGGGTAGAAAAATGCAAAGCATTACACAAGGCCTGTTGGTCATAAAAAAGGAAGACTAGTCCTGGTGATTGACAATTTTATTGGTAAACACCGGAGTGGTGTCCCCATGAAAACTCGCTATGTAATCAAATTGTTCTTGTGTTAGGCAAAACATAAATGAGAAGCGGCTAATAACAACATAGCCTCAATTGATGCGCAGGGTCTATAAACATTTATATACTTTTACAAATATATGACAATATATTCCTACTAAAAACAACAGTAAGAAGGGCTCATGGACGAAGAAAAAATGACAATCTTACACAGAAAAGGAAATACCGGTACAATGAAAAGACAGAACATGAAATGCCTAAGCAGCATATATACAAGACAATACAAATGTATCCTACTGTCTCAAAACCAAGAAACTCTTGCATAACATGATACTTTTGCAAATTGAACATGATGAACATTAGACCCACAGTAGGCCGGGATGCATGCGCGGTTGAGTGAAGTTAGCTCCTCATTAAAATCATGTAATCAAGTAATTCACATTAAGAATTGATGATGATCATAACGGTCGCTAACTTCACGCAGGCACGTGCATGCAACCCGGCCTACAGTCGGTATGCACTTGTATTGTGCAGTGGTTTGCCATGAAACCTGTGAGAAATTGTTACTATTGTCTTTGTTTTTAGGAAAAATAATCCAAAAAAAGATAAGAAAATTGCCACGAACAGGTCAGAGAGATAATGACTTTTCAATCAATTTATATGACCGTTATTTGAACAATTGTGGAAGATTTAGATGATTTTTTTTTGTGTTATAGTAAGGTATGAAGCACGTATTACAGGAAGTGTTAGATCAAGCACGTATTACAGGAAGTGTTACATCAAGCAAGTATTACAGGAAGTATTACATCAAGCAAGTATTACAGGAAGTATTACATCAAGCAAGTATTACAGGAAGTGTTACATCAAGCAAGTATTACATCAAGCAAGTATTACAGGCAGTATTACACCAAGCATGTATAACAGGAAGTATTAGATCAAGCAAGTATTACAGGAAGTATTACATCAAGCAAGTATTACAGGAAGTATTACATCAAGCAGGTATTACAGGAAGTATTACATCAAGCACGTAATACAGGAAGTATTACATCAAGCAGGTATTACAGGAAGTATTACATCAAGCACGTAATACAGGAAGTATTAGATCAAGCACGTAATACAGGAAGTATTAGATCAAGCACGTATTACAGGAAGTATTACATCAAGCAAGTATTACAGCAAGTATTACATCAAGCACATATTACAGGAAGCATTAGATCAAACAAGTATTACAGCAAATATTAGATCAAGCAAGTATTACATGAATTATTACAGCAAGTATTATATCAAGACCCAAGCAAGAATGGCAAGTACTACATCAAGCAAATATTAGATCAAGTATTACAGGAAGTATTACATCAAGCACGTATAATAGGAAGTATTACAGCAAGTGTTAGATCAGGCAAGTATTACATCAAGCACATATTAACTCTTTCCCTGCACTGGTTGATTATTTGAACAAACTGTGAACTGCCATAGTTAAGTTTTTTTCACATGCACAATGAGTATGTACACTATACACTGTCCTTTATTACTAGGTAATCATTTTTATTACCCAGGGAAGCCTCCTCAGCATCAATGCTCTTCTTCCTGAGGGCCCTGCAAGTATTATTACCCCAGGTATTGCCAGGTACCTATTTACACCTGGGTGGAGAGTGGCAAATGTGGATCAATGTCTTGCCAAAGGATGTTAGTGACGTGTTGGGATTCGAACCCTCAACCCTAGGAGCGAGAGTCAAGTGAATGAACCACTAAACCATGACACCTCCACTTCAAAACAATGTGGCAATCCAGATTGTCCAGGATTTCAATCAGTTACAGACAAAGAGTTAAAGCAAGCAAGAAAGCATGCATGCAGTGAAATGAGACGCGCTTACCCTCTCTGGCACAAAATGATGGCTACCTCCTCGCTGTGAGTTGCATGATGGGATAGTATATGAATACATTACATGATATGAGCATCAATTGATACATTGCTATTAAAGCCCCACTGCACTACTTATAGCTACTTGCTCCCTCTATATAGCAAACAATGCCTAATCGGTGACCGTTGGTCCCCCATGATCCTCTTTTTCTTATGTTAATTGAGAGCTGCTTTGATGAGATAACCACTTGTCGGTGACCATGCAGGGAGGTCTAATCCCTCCTGGCCAAACTAGTGCAGTGGGGCTTTAAATGCTTGTGGCGTGTACATGCTATTTAAAAGAATATATATATATGACAATATCTACAGCATTGAAGTATTTGTGCCAACTTGCATTGTCAACTATTAAATCCAGTGAGCCATTTCTGCTAACAACTGCAATTGTAAGGGTATCAAAGGGCTTTGAATTCTACAACCTTTATTTTTTTATTCATTGTTTTATGGAGTTGGTTTTCTACCTATATTAAAATGAGTTAGCATGTCTTAAACGTGTTGTACAAAATTGCTTGTATTTTTGTGCTACTTAAAGGGAACCAAAACCTTCATACTAAGTTACTTTTATTGTAAAGTTTAAGATATTTGAATAAAATCAGTGAAAATTTGAACATAATCGGGCGAGGAATAAGGAAGTTAAAGCCTTTTTAAATGACTAGACACTAGAGGGCGATATTCAATTTGATGACATCATTTGTGGACAACTCTCCATGCCTTTTGTACATCAAATTTCATGTTTTTCCCTCTTTCTTGTGATTGAGATAATCTACTCCCCTGAAAGCAAGGTATAGAATGCAAAATGATATTCTACTTCACATTTTATGAAGTCGATCAACAACACAAGTGAATACGAATAAACCGAAAGAATTGTGAAGTTTGATGTACAAAAGGCATGGAGAGTTGTACACAAACTATGTCATCAAATTGAATATCGCCCTCTAGTGACTAGTCATTTCAAAAAGCTTTAACTTCCTTATTCCTTGCCCGATTTTGTTCAAATTTTCACTGATTTTATTCAAATAAACTTTACAATAAAAGTAACTTAGTATAAAGGTTTAGGTTCCCTTTAAACTACCAGCATTTGTGACCATTCTGTCCTGGCTAGTACCACATCAACTCACCAGTGGCTCTTTGTTGGAGGTTTCTGAGGGAGGTGCCGAGATCTCTTGTTTGGCTGGAGGAGCAGTCTTCGGAAGGTTTTCTACCATCCCTTCTTGGGCATTCTCTAATCCACAGCGTGCACGTAACACCTTGATACGACCCAACACATCACTGATTGGCTCGCTGTCCGTGCCATCTCCATCAGGTCGTGGGTTCGACGATGTGATTTGCTCTGATAGTCCAAGAGAAAACAATTCCATTAGTGAGATTCAAACTTTCTGAAATATGACATATCTAAATTTTGCATACTTCTTTACACACAGAATATTTCAAAAATCGAGAGGAATCTAGGGTTCAAAACAGTAGCTTGAAGACCACAAAATAGGAATCATTCCTCCAAAAATAGGAATCAATGGCATCTAATATGCTAAAGAAACTGAAAAAGAGATAATCACATCTTTTATCACTAAAGAGACAAGAAGCATTGGGGTTGAATGGTCGAGTGGTTTAGGCACTGACTTGAAATTCAAAGGTTGTGGTTCCATCCTCGACACGGCACTAATGTCTTTTAGCAAGGCATTAATCTTCAATTGCCACACTCGACCCAGGTGTGAAGTAAATGGGCACTTGGCAGGAATTGATTCCTTAAAATGCTGTAATGGCAGCTAGGCTAAAGCTGGGATAATAATAAATGTGCCTTGGAATAGAATTTTTAGATAGACAGCGCTATAGAAATGCCTATTATTATTATTATTATTATTACTATTTACCTGGATTATTTTCCTGTTGGTTGTCTTTGACCATGACGTTCGTGGTATGGATGTTCTTCTCTCCTCTCTCCTTGGCGATGTTCTGCAGACCATGTGTGATGTAAGCTTGGAAATACTGCGAGGTCTTCTTTAGAAATGGATCGATATCAACCTCTGGGTACTTCTGCTTGAAGTCATACAACTCAGCCAGACCCTGGACAAAAAAAGGACATCAACATTTTAAACTCCTCTCGTTATTTGCATTCTCAAAACACAATTTATTTCGTTCATGATAACCATGATTTTATGAGCTTGGACATACTGCAAGGTCTTTTTTAGGCCTGGAGAAAAAGACATCAAAATTAAACCACTCTTGTATCTTCATTCTATAAAAAAAACAGTTTATATTACACACATTTTATTTGGTAAATGTATACCAAAGCCAGACACTGACTATTTGACATTTAAATCTCCTTATTCTCAAAAGCATGTGTGTGTAGTTGACCTCCAAGAAACTGCTTCCCGGGTCAAAGCAGCTGCGCAGAGACAAGGCCTTTATTTTGAACCATGAAGAGACGATAAACGCGACATCCCGCAAATCACGTTCGTATAAGTGGCAAGACACGATAAACGCACCCTTAGTTTACTAAAAGGATGATGAATGCTCCTACCTCTCTTGTATTTTCATTAGATCCAATCTTCTGGAAGATAAGAGCAAGAAGGTCGTTCGTCCTTGCAGGTGTTCTCCGTGGTGATTGCTTGACATTTTTCTGTGCAAAAAGGACACATGAGCATTGAATTACAAAATTATACTTTCAAGGTATTAACACAATCAAATTCCTGTACCACTTATACAAATCTTAAATAGTTGCAGCTTAGTTAGAATTAAAAAAAAAAAAAAAAAAAAATCATCATTAAATTACAAAATGATACTTTCAAGGTAACACAATCAAATTCCTGTACCACTTATACAGATATTTAAAGCTTAGTTAGAATAAAAAAAGAACATATCATCATTGAATTACAAAATGATACTTTCAAGGTAACACAATCAAATTCCTGTACCACTTATACAAATCATATTTAAAGCTTAGTTAGAATATAAAAAAAAGAACGTATCATCATTGAATTACAAAATGATACTTTCAAGGTAACACAATCAAATTCCTGTACCACTTATACAAATCATATTTAAAGCTTAGTTAGAATAAAAAAAGAACATATCATCATTGAATTACAAAATTATACTCTCAAGGTAACACATTCAAATTCCTGCACCCCTTGCAGCTTAGTTAGATAAAATAAAAGAAATATCAGCATTTAATAATTAAACGATACCTTCAAAGCAATTCCTGCACCACTTATACAAATCATTTAGATACAGCAATAATAAGAATACCCCATAGTAAAACAAATTTGGAGCTATTGTTTGAGAGTTACAGTCTATAAAAACAAACTTCACATTTTTATCTACCGGTAGTCAAAAGTAGTGCATTTCCAATTTCATGGAGGAGTCCCTTATAATAAGAAATTCAAAATAAATTGCTCAGTTTTATATTATAAAGTCATAGTCACTTTTGTATAGTGCTTATACTACCGGTATGTTACTTCATGGGTGTATGGATGTATGTATGTATGACTGACCCAAAGTTAGAACTTACATCGGAATGCAATCGTACCAGATCCGGAGCAGATCCGTTGATGTGGTCGTTGCTGGACGAGCTGCTAACACTACCACTACGAAGAACCTTCTTGAGATAAGATTCTACCTCAGAATCTTTGGTGTCTGGGATCAGCGTTAAGTGGTTCAGAACCTACAATAGGAAAACAATATCACCGATTAAACAAGGTTTATTAATTATGGCCTTTTATTAATTCATCCCTGTATAAGCCATGATTTTGCTGAAGGTTCTATTATAGAAAATTTAATGAATTATTGTGCAGTCTCAAATTAAATGAACGCAAATGAACTGCCTACCGGTATACACAGTTAACAACTAAATTAACGGTATTCATAGTTTTTGATACCCCTTGTAAATTTTGTGTTTTTGTGTTTTTCGTAACTCAAGAATGAAAGGTGGACTGGGGGGGGGGGGTGTTTCATAAAGCTGTTCGTAAAGTTACGCATGACTTTACGAATGACATGTATATGAAAAGCCAAATGCGATGCTCAATCATTATTAGCTGCATCAACTAAAGTTGAACTGTGCAGATGTAGATTAACATTCTTATTATAACAAACATTTTTAATGTAAAGTATATTTTTTGCCATAATTTAATTTAGGTTATTGGAAATATCAGAAAAAACTTTGGGCATCCTATCTGGCACTTCAAATACATGTACAAGTCGTTCGTAAAGCTTTATGAAACACCCCCCTGGTTGAATGAGGGCCTTTGTTGAATACATTTTGAAGTAAGCTGTAACGTGTCACATTCTTAGGTAACACGAATCGGAACAAATCAATTTGACAATAAATTAACAGTACATATATTATACAAATAACGCACGTCCCAGAGTGCAATAGCGGTGAATGCAGTACGCACGAGGTTTCTTTAGGTTGGTGCCGCTCTGTGCAACGAGCCGCTTGCGGCGAGTTGACAGTGCGAACCATCTGAAGAAACCGAGCGTACACTGCATTTACGATTCGCACAATTGGTCAAGTGCGTTATTTGTTTTATAAAATAGCGACACAAATAGCAACAAACGAAACTTTAGATCTTAAGTTAGAGTCTACGAGAGTTCGATCTAGATCTAGAGTTAGGTTGGTTCTAGACTAAGACCTTGCAGGCTTACCAAAAAATCAATGGGATTCATTGCCTTGATTAAAAATAAAATCCACAGAGGTCTACAGTGGGTCTAGAGACGAATCTACATCAGACAGCTGAAATTCCTGGCTTCATTATAAAATCCAAAAGTCAAAACAGGCCTAAATCCAAGGCAAAAGTAAAACAAAAATTTGCTTTTTATGTCTAGTAAGTCCATGCTAGAGCTAAGCTACACGTACGTTGCGCTGGGGATCATGGTGGAGCGTACAATATTAGCTACGCGTAGCCTACAATAATTGCAATGCAGTCGAGGGAGCGCGTACTACACGTACGCGCGCGCACTGGATCTCCATGGTCACGTGCAATATAACTTTTTGTTGCGCTTTTTCTGCACTCATTTCTGCAAAATCGTGCTTGCATCAAAAATTTGTCAATGTCATGTGACGCGTATTGACCAATCACGATGCTTAAAATACTAGAGCCATTTTATAAATATTAATAGTGATTTACCATGAAGCTAGAGTATTTCATAACACAGTTGGTTATGCTTTTTTACGTTAAACTAAATTTGAGCAGACATTGTTAAGGTTGACAGGAGACATGGTTTCTCACTTCTGGGGCCCTGTTTCATAAAACTTGTTTCTATAACAAGTGTCACATAACAAGTTTGCTCTCAGCCAATCAAACGCAATATTTTCAGTAGCTTATAACAGTTGATGCCAGGGAAAAAATTAATAATTATTTTTCGGAAGCTACTTTTCAACATTGCCTGCATGAAAATAACATTCTAAAATTTGTTTTGCAAAGAACTCTATGCAAATTTAAGGGGGCTCTTTTCTGATTTTCGGGGGCTCCTTTGGGCATTTCGGGGCTATTTCGCCCTGAGCCCCCGTGTATTTTTTGCACTGGTTGATGCAACATGTTATTGATAATCATTTTTTTAAGAAATAAGGCAGTGGTATGTCACAAAAATTGCCCAACCCCATGAAAGAACCCAGCAGTAATCGTACCTTTTGACCCAGTATCTTGGCCAGCGAATGAAGGATGGTCTTGACGGTACGGAGCGGTGTATCGCTGGGTAGATCACGCCAGACGGACGAGGGAAACGCTTTGAGGAACTGATGGAGGTCTAACAGGATACGATCCACGTTCAGCTCGTTGATGATGTTTGGCATAGTCCGCACTAACCGCCATAAACACTGTTTAAAGATAAAAACCAGTTATGGCCATGCGATTGCATTGTAAAAGAAACCTTGTGGAATCAATCAGAAAGGGTTGATCATCTGGCATATAAGTATGTGTGTGTACTGCAAGGTTCTGGAATCATCAAAATGATAAGAAATTTGGCCCAGTCTTGGTAAAGTTACAAGCACTGTACACAGAAGGATGTATATGGGACTACACGATCATGAGGCGTAAAAATCTGTGCCGATTTTTACAATGTTACATGCCATATTTAGAATATGAAGGCATTTGAATAGCCATGCTTTTCAGGCAACATGTTTTATCTGATGTTCTTCCACCCTTGCATAATAACAATGATAACATCATATCTGATTGATACACGTCTGTAAAGGAGTGTTGATAATCTCTTGAAAAGGCAATGTTCCTTCAGAGGATCTAAGCATGTTGGGAATCGCTAGGGTACACAAAGGAAAGGATCGGATGCTGCAGAATTTGGAAGTCTTCCCTTATTGGTAGTATCAATTTGCTGATTGTCTAAACTCATTTGGATACCTCATTTGGTTAGACCTGACTGCTAAGGAAGCATGTGTATGCCTGTAAGAAAGCAACAAGATGGATGACGGCTTTAAGTCCTCTTTGAGGGACTTAGTAATGAGGATTAATGCCTTGCCAAAGGGCAATAACTTGGTTGCGAGCCCGGGACCTCCTGGTTAAGAGACAACTGCTCTACCACTGAGCCATTGCGTCTCCTTCACGCATCCTCTCTTTTTCATGCAAACTGATTTGTGTAAAGTCAATACAGGCCAGATTTTGTGTACTACGAGCCAGACTTTGGTGCGTGAAATGTACCCCTTTACCGGACATTTTGGTAACACGCATGGTATCCCTCCGTTCATGGAGCGGGGGGGGGGGGGGGGCCAGGATTTGATCTTACCTTCATAATGAGCGAAGCAAACTTGGTTGAACCACTCTCACGAGCTACACACTCTTGAAGTAGCTTGATCAGGGCACTGCGATGAGAAGGGAGGGAATGGAGATATAATAATAATAATAATAATAATCTTTTAAAGTCCACTCCAACTTTTATTAAGTTAAACCGAAAATGGAAATTCTTTTGCCCGATTGATCATGAGCCTGGCAGCCACTGAGCAGCGCCAGATCGACAGTCCAAACACCCTTGGCTACCGCCTCGGGCGTGTTAGACTGTTGTAAAAGTACACTGTGCGGGTAATTCTTACTAATGCCCTCAATGCTGTGTATTATTTGTATACTAAACTTGAAAATTGAAAACCAAAAAATAACGATGCTATGCTCTTACCCCATTGCTGCATTATGGTTTGAATTTTCCACCACTTTGGCCATGACAATGTTGAAAGATCGTACGACCTGGGGTCCGTCATCGAAGGACATGAGACGGTCGTCGATGAGGACGGTGATGAGGCCGTTGATGAGGTCACAGAGGACATCCTTAGAGGCTCGTTGACTCAGGCTACTGTTCTGAAACACCTGTCATGTCAAACGAGATTGGGAATGCAGTTAATACATGCTTAGTGGAGTCGGGCCAACTCGGACCAAAGACAACTCGGCCCAAATGCCAAAACGGTCAGTTCTTACAGGTTTAGGGTTAGGATTGGGGTTAGGGTTAGGTTAAGGGTTAGGGTGAGGGTTAAGACTTAAGATGAGGATAAAATGACAAAAATGGCCATTTTTGCATGGGCCGTGTTGTCTTTGGTCCCGGTTCGAATCCCTGCTTAGTATAGAAAGTAGCTTCCAACAAATAAAGGAATCTTGTCACCATCATCATCATCATATCCATCATCATCATCATCATCATCATCATCATGGCCACATCATCATTAACAACAAAATCATGATCATCATCATCATAACTACCATCATCATCATCATAATCATAACCACCATTATCAACAACAAAATCATGATCATCATCATCATAACTACCATCATCATAACTACCATCATCATCATAACTACCATCATCATCATCATAATCATAACCACCATCATCAACAACAAAATCATGATCATCACGACCTCATCATCATCATTACAACCATCATCAACATTTTTTTTGAGTAAACAATCTAATGTCCTTTGGCAAGACATTGATCTACATTTGCCACACTCAACCCAGGTGATGTAAATGGGTACCTGGCAGGAATTACTTCCTTGAAATGCTGGAGCGCTGTATTAACGGCAGCTAGGCTAAAGCCGGGGTAATAATGAATGCGCCTCGGAATAGAATTATCTAGATATACGGCGTTATAGAAATGCCTATTATTATTATTATTATTAATCTAGCCCTTAGGCTGCAATGTAAAATTCCATTTCAATTCAATTCAATCATTATAAACTGATGATTTCTTACCGATACAAGGAGCGCAGCCAAGCACCTGTACATCCTAATCACATCTTTTGACGTGATCTCATCTCCCATGTGTTTACTGAATGCCATACGTAGCTGAAGCGAGGTTGCTATTAGCAACTGATCAGCATGTTCAACCACAGCCTTCGTGTTCTCAGGCTCCTTCAAGATCTCATCCAACTATGAAGAAATTAGAAAGAAAAAAAGTATGTCAATTGTATACTAATTGATATATTTGGTAAATTATTATATCTCTTTGGACCTAATAGATATAACGCAGGTGTCGTGCATGTGTCGCGTAGTCCCATATACATATTTCTGTGTACAGTGCTTGAAACTTTACCAAGACTGGGCCAAATTTCTTATCATTTTGATGATTCCAGAACCTTGAAGTACACACCAATACTTATATGCTATATAGATGATCAACCTTTTCTAATCGATTCCATGTTTTTTTCACAATGCAATCGCATGACAATAACTGGTCTTTATCTTTAACAGGTTAAGAAAAAATATTCATGAAAATATTCACACACTCCTACATGTACTATAAAAGTTACTTTGGGAAACTTCTTCATTTAAAAAAATGAATAGACCTGAATATATCTGATGAGAAAAATTAAGATATTTTATATGACGTAATGCTCCACATCAAATGGAGATAATGTAAAATTAATAAAAGAGAGAAAGGCTATGTGATTACCAGCTATTTCAGATAAACTTACCTGAGCTAATGCTTGTATGCTGATGGCTATGTCATTACTGGCTATCTGTGATATCATGAAGTTGAGTTGCATCATTGTCGGCACTGCAGATTTCTGCACCCTGAGAAACAAATTTTCCAAACAAGACAAGTTAAAAAAAAAAGGAAGCTTTATTAAAGGTAATACAAAGTTTTGGGAAATTTCGAAAATTGGGTGGATAGTGCTTTTTTACAATTTTGATATATCTGGATGCCCCGGAAAACCCCCGAAAAAATAATAATAATAAACAAACAAAAATAAATAATAATTATGTATATAGATCAAGGAGTCTCTCCTAAAAATAATAATATATTTCAAATTAATAACCCCACTTTGAACAAACATTTTGAAGATACGGCCATAATTTGAAGACTTCCAGGTCTCCTGCGTTTTCTGTAATTTATCTTTTTTCATTGAAATTATATTTGTGTTTGTGTTCTGTAATTTATCTTTTTTCATTGAAATTATATTTGCTTTTGTATGCATCTTATTTAATGTACTTAAAAATGTATAATTATGTAAAATGAAGAAATATTTGTTACTCTATGTATATGATTATGTTCTATTTTGAAAATGCAGAAAAAAAACTTACTTCCTCTTGGGTAAGACTACAGGTTTCTCTAAGAGGTCATTGACCTCTGTATCTTCCAGTTCTGGTGCCTTGAGATCGGCTTCATCATCATTCAGACCGAGCTGATCGAGATCTAAAGAGAAGACTTTAGGCGCGGACGATTGGTTCCCTGGTTGCTTAGGGGGCGCTGTGGCTGGTCTCTGCCCCTTCCCAGGATTCCTAAGACAGAATTGAAACAAAGACAATAATATATTTCATTTCTTTTCATTTCCATAAGTTCCTCTTTACTTCTGCCATTTTATAGATGGTTATGATTCAATATCAAGGGTCATATTTTGACAAATTATATTAACTTCATGAGACCAAAAAGTATGGTATTTCTCAAAGATTATTATACCAATATGTTAAGAATTTATTTTTTGATATATAATTTTCTCTCATTTGTTTTGTATTGTAAACTGGACCCCTCGGAAGAACATCTGTGCTGTACTGGCACAGCTGAGCAGGGCGATCCATCCAATGTTATTTTCTCATGTTATCATGTTTATTGTTATTTATATGTTCTTATATTGGTCAATAAAATCAAATAAAATCAAAGATAACATCATTTTTAGAATACCAAACCTGCACAATATACGACAAATTGATTAACCAAAAGATATTAACAAAGCAGAGACGTATATTTAAATGTGGTCTGTTGTGGGGATCTGCTAGCTGCACTTAATTAGATGAGTGTGCAGAACTCTTTCTTTGGTTCTAAATCACTTGAAAATTATTCAAATACAAGAACAACTATATTTTTAGCATCTATCTTTCTAATCAAAATCGGAAATATGAATCCTATTTCCTGAATAGCACTCCGACTTTGGAAAAAGATACATTTCTATAAAAAAAAATGACACGCTGCTTGACAAAAAGCATTCTCAAAAAATTACAAGAATGTTTCAGATATACACAGCAGCCATCTACACTACAAAAGCAACAATAACTAATTTCTTTGAAACAGGTAAAAGTATGTGCATAAAAAATGGAAAATTTTAAAGTTCTTATTAAAAAAGAATTATCCAGGGAACAAATGATTATTCAGGGAATCAAAGAGGAAAAAAACTTGAGGGTAAATGACACAAGACAGAGGCCCTTTTAGAATTCAGATTACGGGCAAAAACATTTTTTCTGCAAGACAACAGAAGAAGAATGAAATACTAGCAAGACACTCAGGAATATGCCAGTTGCCTAAAATGAAACATGACGGAATATTACATTATAAAACAAAGGGAAGGGAAGGGCTCAGAAATGTTAATTTATCAGCACAAACTATTGAATATGTATTTTCTATGGAATATAAAATGAATCTAAATTTTTGTAGGGATAGAACAAGGACAGTACACAGAGTTTGGAGTTATTATGTTGTAGGTAAATACATGAGAGAAAGAGGAATAAATGCAACACATGTATATAAAGACATACTGGATCTCCATTTTCTCTTTGTCTCTTCCCCCTCCCCCCCCCCCCCCTTCACCATCCCTTTCTCTCCTCTCCCGCTCTCTCTCTCTCTCTCTCTCTCTCTCCAGGGTGGTGTTTCACAAAGATCCTAAGTTGAACTTATCTCTAAGTTGGACTTAAAAATTATGGAAAGCCGTTAGCATCTATGAAAATATTTTGTAAAAGTTATTTTAAAAGTAAAAAAATGTTGATTCAAATCATTCATATTTTCTATTATCAAGGAGATTTCATGTTCTTGATGTGGAATTTATAAAAAGTCAAAAATACTTCAATTTTCGTTTTTGAATAAATTCTTTTTAAAAGCTACACATGGCTTTCCATAACATTTAAGTCATACTTAGTGTTAAGTTCGACTTAGGATCTTTGTGAAACACCCCCCAGGGGTGATAGTGAGCACTAACAAAAAAATATTTAAAACATTTTAAAAAGGATTTATGGGAGAAAAAATGGCATCTAACAACATTCCCCCCCCCCCCCCTTCTGAGTAAGAAAATGTGGAAAATAGGGGTAAGAGAGAGAGAGATAGAAAGAGAGAAAGAGAAATAGAGAGATAGAGAGAGAGAGATAGAGAGAAAGAAAAAGGGAGAGAAAGAGAGATAGAGAGAGAGAGAGAGAAACATAGAAAGAAAGAGGGAGAGATAGAGAGGGGAGAGAAAGAGATCGAGGGGAGAGAAAGAGATAGAGGGGAGAGAAAGAGAGAGAGATAGAGAGGAAGAGAGGGAGATAGAAATAAAAAGAGAGAGAAAGAAAGAAAGAAAGAGAGAAATAGATGGAGAGAGTGAGCGGGAGACTCATTTATCTCATTAAATATAAGAGCTACATGTTTATAGCTATAGCTAAATGAAAACACAGCACTGCACACATGAGTGGTATAAAGTGATTAGATGAAGCAAAGCAAAGCAAAGCAAAGCTGAGTGAATGCCAACCAACCAACCTGTATGCATCTCTCCAGAGAGAAAGAGAGAAAGAAAGAAGGAGAAAAAGGAAGAAAGAGGGAGAAAGAGCGAGAGAAAGAGAGAGAAAGAGAGAGATAGAGAGAAAGAAAAAAGGGAGAGATAGAGAAAGAGATAGAGAGAAAGATAGAAAGAAAGAAAAAGATAGAGAGGGGAGAGAAAGAGAGATAGAGAGAAAGAAAAAAGGGAGAGATAGAGAGAGATAGAGAGAAAGATAGAAAGAAAGAGGGAGAAATAGAGAGGGGGAGAGAAAGAGAGATAGCAAGAAAGAGGGAAAGAGAGAGAGATAAAGAGAAAGAGAGAGAGAAAGAGAGGGAGATCGACAGACCAAGAGAGAAAGAGAGGGAGATCGACAGACCAAGAGAGAAAGAAAGAAAGTGAGCGGGAGACTCATTTATCTCTTTAAATACATAAAAGCTACATGTTTAAAGCTATAGCTAGATGAGAACACAGCACTGCACATCTACATGAGTGGTATAAAGTGATTAGATGAAGCAAAGCAAAGCAAAGCTGAATGCCAACCAACCAACCTGTATGCATCTCTCCAGCCGGGTCTGCATGCGTTAGTACATTGGATTAGAAAGCGATATCAAATTGTGATTGTGAGCATACCGTTTCAATTGAAATGTGTTGAAACTTTGACCAAATAAATGCACATAGTGTGACTGTCACAAGTATTGCAATTATAGCATACTAAAATCACCAATCACTCGCCATCTAAAATTATTGGCAACATGTGTTTCCAATCAATTACTGTTAGTTTCAACATAGTTCATCTTCAATGAAAAAACTCCTTGAGATAGACGATTTATTTTGGGAAACCTCAAGAAAAAAAAAATCCTGTTTTAAGATGAATTTATAGTGAGCAGTAAGAAAGAAATATATAGCAGAATAGAATTCTACACAAATTAATTGTCGTGCTTTTAGAATAATCAATATATGCCTTTCAGAACCTTTCCCCATGTGGTTAGGTGTGTATTATGGGTTAGTTCTTTCAAATGATACAAAAGTGATTTATTTTTTTCTTGGTTGTTGCATGCACTGTAATACTTGCACAAATCACATTCAGCTCATGCAATTCATTAGTTGTATGACACTGTATTACAAATGTTAAGTAGGATAAATCTTAAACAAGTTAACCCTTTCCCAACCACCATTTCACATGATTTGGTTTGGCTGAATAATAATAATAATAATAATACTCGGTTTTTATATAGCGCTTATTAGAATCACTATTAAAGCGCTTCCAAACTTGGAGATTATTACCCTGGCTTTAGCTGTGCTGCCATTGCGGCGCTCTAGCATTTCAAACTTTGATTCTAGGGCCCTTTGAATAAGCCGACAGCATGTGTAGAAAAGGCAAACATTTCTGCACACACTGCATCCATCTTTCTTTCATAACTATCTAGAGTTTGATGCTAGGAATTTTAAGGAGAAAAAAAAGCTTCAAAATCTTTAAGTTTGCAACTTGTGAGAGATTCAAAATCATTGTGTTTCTTATCACTTTGGCAATTTTCAACTTTTTGACAACATTTTTGCCCATGTTTTCAGAGACATTGCATGTGGTTCCAACATTGTAGCAAATAAAGAAAAATATAACAGTTGCCAATTTGAAGAATATTGTGTGATCAATTTATCCCTAAAATAAATCCTGACCTGAAAGGATTAACAGTGTTCTTAAAATAAAATCTGGCTCTTTTAATGACAAACAAATCGTCAATTAAAAAATGGATTTCTGAGACAGAATAAAACCTTCACAGGGTAATCAATGAAAGCTAGAGGTTACAAGAAAGTCAAAAGTAATATGGATATTTTGTTTGACATACGGGAGATTTGATTTCTTGGCATCAGGTCCTTTAGCCGTCTTCTCATCAGTATTCTTCTTAGATGGAGCCGGTTCTGTCTTTGCTGGAGCTGGTTTCTTGCCCGACCTCTTGATTCGCTCCTCCAATAAACTCATCTCTTTCTCATTCAACTGTTACAGCAGATATACAAGTAAAGAAAGAAAGAGAGAGAGAGAGAGGGGTGAGGGGAAAAGAGACAGAGAGAGAGAGAAAAAGAAAGGCGGGACAAAGAGAGGCAGAGGGGAATAAAAGCCGATCGCCTGTCTGATTATCAAGATATTTATAATTGGAATTACAAATTTTGAAAACCATTTGCCAAATGGTTTTCATAACACTACAGTCAATTGAGTAAAAAGTAGTATAGTAAAACCGGTCACTCAAAGATTTTTACTTTTTTGAGGCACTTCTTGATCATTTTGAAGCGCAATTTTTTTTTTTTAGGGCTTCAATATTATATATCATAGACACTGATAGCACATAGGGCCGTGCATCTCAGATTTAACATTGTTAAACGATGCCTTTAAGTTGAATCATCTCACGTGAGTACTTACATTTCCAATGTATTTATACACATTCTCTCCTACGATGCTATAGACCTGTACTAGTGTGTTGAGAGCTGCTGATCGTACAGTGTTATCTCGATCTGCGATCTGACTGGCGACTTCCTTCAGTGCTTTAGGAGGCGAGGGCTGACAGACGTTGAGACCGTACAGTTCAATCAGGATACCAAGCTCATCCAAACATTCTGAGAAAGACAAAATGTCATGTCATTATGAGCAGGGTGAAGTTTTAAACTAAAATGACATTAATTGAAGGTATGCAAGCCCACAAAACAAGACAACAATAACATTACATTAGATATAACATTAGTTCTTCTCTGTCCATCTCTCTCTCTCTCTCTCTCTTTCTTTCTATTTCTCTCTCCTTCTGCTTTTTCTCCTTCTCCTTCTTTTTCTCTCTCTCTCCTTTTTTTTCTCTTTCACTTTTCTCCCTCTCCTCTTTCCCTTTCCCTTTCATCCCCCTTTCTTCCCCCTCCCCCTCCCTCCTCTGAGAATGATCCCCATACATACCTGTTCTCTGCCTCGCATTCTTTGATTTGATGCCATCCATAAGGAATCCAAACATCTTACTTGCGGGATAGATCTTAGTAAGAAGCTTGATAACAGCTTTAACATCCTTACGCACATTCTCCTTAGGATCACCAATCTGCAATTTAAAAAAAAGATAATAATATTCTGCATTTAAATAGGGCTTAATACATCAACAATATCTCTAAGCACTTTACAGATATATTATTACCCCCATCATAGGATTCAGGCTTGCCCGCACACAATGTATGCACATACTCCACTCCCTAGGAGCATTCCAGCCATGTGCCATTTTACAGACGCTCACAATGCTGAGCGAACTACAGTAACGTTCGCATCCTACCGGTTACCCATTTAACACCTGGGTGGAGAGTGGCAAATGTAGATTAACGTCTTGCCAAAGGACGTTAGTGCAGGGCTGGGATTTGAACCCCAGTCCTGCACTAAGGTCCTTTGGTATCCAATACGAAGTTGATGTTTTTCAAATTTAAAACTCCAGTTCCTCAATCGAAGAAGAAAGATTTTGAAAAGACTTACTTTGAGAATGAGATACGGAATGAAGCTATTGGCCTCCTGATCCAGCAGACTGTAGTCGATTGAGGAGAGCATTGTGAACACTGAACGGAGGAACTCCAACATCTTGACCAGAACGCTGGTGTTGGTGTCGAAGAATCGGAGGGAGGACCATTTGAGTAAGACATCCAGGTTAGACTTGATTGCATTCTGACTGCTCTCGACATACTGCCATGAGAGAGAACAAATGTTTATTATATTATTATAATAATAATAATAATAATATGTCTTGTTTACCCAGGGTAGCCTCATCAGTATTTATACTGTTCTCCCTGAGGGCCCTGCAATCATATTATTACCCCGGTCATCGGATTCAGGCTTACCCGCACACAATGTATGCACATTTTCCACTCCTTGGGGAGCATTCCAGCCAGTCGCCATTTTACAAGCACACACTTGTATTGTATTATTGATTAGATATTATACAATAACATAGTGGACTAATAACTTTCAGTGATACAGTATCCTGAAAAGCAACTACTATAAGCTCTTTTTTTTTCTTCAAATTTCAAGGTATCTTTTTCATTCAGTTAAATTACTTACTTTATCAGTCTATGTATTTTATTTTTCTCTTTACTTTCTGTCATTTGTAAGCACCATAGTACTTTTTGTTTAGCTCTCCTAAAACCTCGGTCACAAATTCCATTACGAACTGCTATGAACGCTGATTTTCAGACAATGGAAATTCAGGAAGACAATGGAAAAACAGGGAGATTTGTACGAACCTTTGTGACCATAGCTTAAATACTCAATATTATTTTAAATAATAATTCTTAATGATAAAGAGTAAAACTAATGTGCAATCATACCTCTGTAAGAATCCCTACACCGACTATATGCTTCTTAAAGTCAGCGTGGAAAAGAAGTCCGAAGAGAGTCTTGCTAACACAAGGCTGGATCTGATCTTTAAGCTGGTCAACGTACTCTGCTCGAGGGGTCGTGAAATTCCACTTCAGAACCTAGGGAATATAAACAACAATAGCATAACAGGTACATGAGCATCTGTCTGCATCAATAACCCACTACTTTTAATGGCCAAAATTATATTGATTGAATCTTTAAGCAGCACAAAACGTACAACCATTCAGTAAAAGGGTCTGAAAATCAGACTAATACTTAGGTGATTGCAATCACTTAAGTTGATTCGACATGTAATGGTCTTTTTTTTTCCACTAAAAGCCATTTCAACCCCTTCTATTTTGAGGGAAGTTCTAAATTAGTATTGTCTTTCAAATGCTGTTGGAATTTGACCTTTTCATTTTTTTGGTCTGCAAATGGGACATAGTACCTTTAAATGATATCAGAAAGCACTTGTGAACAAGTAAGAATTCAAATTTGATTTAAAGGTAGTTAAGTCTGTGATGGTTTGGACGAATAATTCATACAACTGTCAACATCAGCACCCTCGATACTATCACGGACACCTATTTATATGACATTGATTGTTGTCATGTACATTTTCTGCAATCTATTTAAGTTAGTATTGTCTGTTGGGAGCCAGGGGAGTACAAATAATTCCCCTGGCTCTCAACAGAGAGGTTAAATTATATTACATTGTTATGTTATTTATGTTATTTGTCTATGATATGTTAAAGTATTGTTATATTTTATACAAATGTGAGCCGTAAGACGATTTTTATGCCTTCATTTTATTTTGTGCATGACAATAAAGAAATTCAAGTTAATTCAATTCAATGCAAACCTACCTTCAAATCTGATTCATCTTTCAATCTCCTATCCTTGCCGTTGTTCTGAATTAAAGCCGGTCCTGTTTCTTCATCCTCATCTTTCTTCTTCTTAGACGGAGCAGGCTTCCCTGCCTAAAATCACAAAAACAAAATCCAGATGAAATTAATGGTGTTTCATTATAATATATCAACAACTCTCACCCTGAATTTCATTGCTGTATAAGAGAAGAGTATAGGACCCACAACACACCCTTGTGGACAACCTCATCTTTCTTCTTCTTAGACAGAGCAGGCACAAAAACAAAATTCAGATGAAATTAATGGTGTTTCATTATAATATATCAACAACTCTCACCCTGAATTTCATTGCTGTATAAGAGAAGGGTATAGGACCCACAGCAAACCCTTGTGGAACACCTAATTGAGGCCTACGGGGCCTTTCTATGACTTGAGATGTTGTATGAGGGTGTTAAGAACAAGTCTTATGTCCATTACTCTTCTTTTACAGAAAAGAAAATACAATTTATGAGGTAATAGTTATCATACTTCTCTTTTTTAGATGATGGATAGACTTTATTTTGGAAATTACCTTTTTTTTATTACGAAGGTAAGCATATTTTTGAGGAAAAAATATTGAATAAATTAATTTTCAAAACCTAAAATACAGAGTTATCTGAAATGGTTAAATATGAAACAAGACACAGCCTTCATGTATATATATATGAATTGAAGAAGTTATACATACTTATACATGAAAGTTAATTGATTTGTTAGGTTGGCTAGGGCGAGACCAGTCTGTATTTTCAAACAGATGTCCTTAAAGAGATTTTGTTTTATACACAACAATGGATGTTTGGATACTCAGACAACCTAATACATGTATGGGCACACATGTGATTTTCATCATTGCATGAATATTATCATTAAAGGGATAGTTGAGTTCTGTTTTCAGACCGCAAATGCCTTCAAAGTGCATGGTTATTGCTCTTATTCTTATCTATGATATTTCTAGTGCCCTTTTAGAACCTAAAATTGCTATAAAGGTAATATGTGTGAAATGAAGCCAATATGATCATACCAATTCAGCTCCACTTTAAAAAAAAACATGGTGACCGTTAATTAATTATTTAATTAAAAATAACAATACATGGGCCGGCTGGTTGTGCATAATATAAGCAACACGAAAATGCCAACAAAAAAGCCAACATCAACGGTTTTTTTCAAATTTTTCAAAATATCTAATATTTGTGGTGGTACACAAGTATTAGAAATTGTTATATTTTAGTCGTCTCGGAACCGATTTTGTTCAAACAAAGATGATTTTGTCATTTCAATATTATGTTCTTTCAAATTTGACACTCAGTTTTTCATTATCTCACAAACAAATTATTTTGTGTAGCACCCTCTGCAACAGAACTCAACTATCCCTTTAAGTGCAAGATGAGCTTTCAAAATAATACTTCACATGAAAACAATTTACAATATTTTTTTTATTCAAAATTAATAATCAACAATAATTTCTGTAAAAAAGAAAGAAAAAATGTTATTTCAAATGGAGAAAAATCATGCCTGAAAGGAATATGTGAAAGTTCATGTTAACCATTCATACATTCTATAAATATTTGTGTTAATTGTTATTACTTGATTACAAGGAGCAGTTAATTCACAGGATTATACAAATGCTGATACAAAACCAAAGGCTTTTAATCAGGTACATGAACTGTAGAAACAATTAGAATATGACAGTCCTGCTTTGATACAGCTTCAAAATTGTTGTGTTTTCCATACAGCAAAAGCTACATCGCTTGCATAAGACATTCTGATTAAACTCAATTCCAATATCAAACACAACAGTCTTGAATGACACCTATCATTTGAAACTAAAGATGCATTTACTTTCAACTATTTTCATGCTAAAGAGGCCCATGAATTTTGTTTTTTAAACTTTTAAGTTTTACATAAAGACAGCCAACAAACTATGACTTTTCCTAATGTCAGGTACCGTTTCTTATTTCAACACAAGAGTATAGAGTACCGAAGCTGTGACGTCATGAAAATAAATTTTTAGAATTTCTCAATCTTTTCTTCATTTTCCGAAAGAGCATAAAAAATGTCCAAATGCCGAAAAACAATTGAATATGTTAACTATTGGCTAAGATATGACCATCTGAATAAAAATATTTCCTATAGGAACTCAGTGCTATTTGCTCTGGCTCGTAATGGTTAGGAGCTAGAGCAAATGATAATAATCATGCCACCTAAAAGAAGGCTTTAGAGTTTATCACAGCTTAACACACATTAATGAAGTTTTAACATCACAAAAGTGAAAAATAACAATAATAATGTTTGCTTTATCCACCTGCATGGAGAGTGGAAAATGTGGATTAAGGTCTTGCCAGAGGACACTAGTGCCAGGCTGGGATTGGAACCCTAAACCCTTGGACTGAGAGTCAGGTGACTGAACCACTACACCATGACACTATATGGATTAAGGTCTTGCCAGAGGACACTAGTGCCAGGCTGGGATTGGAACCCTAAACCCTTGGACTGAGAGTCAAGTGACTGAACCACTACACAGTGACACTATATGGATTAAGGTTGCCAGAGGACACTAGTGCCAGGCTGGGATTGGAACCCTAAACCCTTGGACCGAGAGTCAAGTGACTGAACCACTACACAGTGACACTATATGGATTAAGGTCTTGCCAGAGGACACTAGTGCCAGGCTGGGATTGGAACCCTAAACCCTTGGACTGAGAGTCAAGTGACTGAACCACTACACAGTGACACTATATGGATTAAGGTCTTGCCAGAGGACACTAGTGCCAGGCTGGGATTGGAACCCTAAACCCTTGGACCGAGAGTCAAGTGACTGAACCACTACACAGTGACACTATATGGATTAAGGTCTTGCCAGAGGACACTAGTGCCAGGCTGGGATTGGAACCCTAAACCCTTGGACTGAGAGTCAAGTGACTGAACCACTACACAGTGACACTATATGGATTAAGGTCTTGCCAGAGGACACTAGTGCCAGGCTGGGATTGGAACCCTAAACCCTTGGACCGAGAGTCAAGTGACTGAACCACTACACAGTGACACTATATGGATTAAGGTCTTGCCAGAGGACACTAGTGCCAGGCTGGGATTGGAACCCTAAACCCTTGGACTGAGAGTCAAGTGACTGAACCACTACACAGTGACACTATATGGATTAAGGTCTTGCCAGAGGACACTAGTGCCAGGCTGGGATTGGAACCCTAAACCCTTGGACTGAGAGTCAGGTGACTGAACCACTACACCGTGACACTATATGGATTAAGGTCTTGCCAGAGGACTCTAGTGCCAGGCTGGGATTGGAACCCTAAACCCTTGGACCGAGAGTCAAGTGACTGAACCACTACACCGTGACACTATATGGATTAAGGTCTTGCCAGAGGACACTAGTGCCAGGCTGGGATTGGAACCCTAAACCCTTGGACTGAGAGTCAAGTGACTGAACCACTACACAGTGACACTATATGGATTAAGGTTGCCAGAGGACACTAGTGCCAGGCTGGGATTGGAACCCTAAACCCTTGGACCGAGAGTCAAGTGACTGAACCACTACACCATGACACTATATGGATTAAGGTCTTGCCAGAGGACACTAGTGCCAGGCTGGGATTGGAACCCTAAACCCTTGGACCGAGAGTCAAGTGACTGAACCACTACACCGTGACACTATATGGATTAAGGCCTTGCCAGAGGACACTAGTGACAGACTGGGATTGGAACCCTCAACCCCTGGCGTGATAGTCAAGTGACGAAACACTATACCACGGCACCTCCTCTTGGAATAAGGTGCTTTATTGCAGACCTAATTGCCGATGTGAGATGCTTGTAGGATATTTTACAGGACAAAATCGGCATTTTGCCATTTAAAATGGCACACACACAAAATAAAAAAATTTAAAAAATTCCTTCTTTTTTTAGAAAATCGTATTTTATTGATGGGTTAAGAAGAGCATGCTTGTCAGTAGTGTTAGTATGCCTGATGAGGCATGCCCACGGAGTACCAAGCATTTGTATACCTTTCCCTTGGCCGACGCCCCTTTGCCTGCCTTGCCCTTCGATGAAGCGCCCTCGCTTGGTGGGGCACTGGCAGAGCTGGACAGGCTACTGGTGGATCCAGTGTCATTTTGCACTGGCTAAAGTTCAAAGGTCAAAGTGTTTCATCGGCAAAAGTTTTGATGGAAAGGGGAGAATAGGAGCAGAATAAAGAAAAAGAGGTGAATATTACAGTCACAGAGATAACACAGCATCAACAAAACAAAGCAATCGTTTATAGAACATTAAGAAATAGTTTAGGAGAAAGTAGGAAGATATAGAGAAGGGAAAGAGGGAAAGCATTAGCATCTTCACAAGAATGGGAGAGGGAGAATAGGTACATAATAAAGATAAATATGATATTCACAGGGGTAACTCAACATCAACAAAAACAATACAGAGACAATATGCAACATTCAAAGGTTGTAGGATAATTGGGAGAAAGTATAGAGGCAGAGAGGAAGAGGAAAGGATTTTTTTTTTCTTTAAGGGGGAATGCAACCAAGGCAAACATACTAGAGGATAGTGTATGCGAAACACTACCATGAAAGTGAACAGCTTACAATGACAAGAGTAAAAACAATTACATTGAACATTACTAAAATATTCAGAGCAATCAGAGGAAGAAAAGAAAAAGCTTTTTTGAATGTAGAGTGAGATTCGAAGCACCATCTTTCTTTTCTTTTTGGGGGGAGCAAGCTGTGCACAATATCAAATAGCCATTGATGTGCCTACTTGCTGAACTATGTGCTATAAGATTTAGAAAATTGAAGTGTGCTGCATTTTTCTCTCTTAATTTTGCAACAGCACATTTTTAACGCGGTCTACCACCCCATGTCTGAATGCGTCAGAGGAAATGTTAAAAATGGATCAAACTTCTGTACAAGGTCAGTACACCGTTGAGTCATAAGAATAGTTTATAACTTACCGTAAATCTCTGTGTATATGAAAGGCGCACACCTATTTTTTTTTTTGGGGGGGGGGGGCTTTTTTTGCTTTTTTATGCTTTTTTGTTTAAAATCAGATCAAATCGCGTCTTATATCAGCGTTCGGAAATACGTTCATTTTATTATGACATGTATAAGGCGCACCCCCGACTTTCCCGACGGAAAAAAAGTGTGCCTTATGCACGGAGATTTACGGTAGGTGGTCCAGTCTTGTGAGGCAAATTTCTAATCGATTTGAGCACAGACTCTCGTACAATAAAACCACAAAGTCAAAATGAGAAGAGATTGTACATACCTTAGCCGGAGCAGTCTTTGGTCGTTTGGTAGGAGCAGATTCTTTCTTCGATTCAGGTTCTTCCGTAGGAGCAGCCGTAGAAGGTCGGGATGTCTCTTTCTTGGCAGCCTTGGTAGCTTTCTCTGGTTTGCCTGGCTTGGCAGGAATGTTAGCACGCTGTTTCTCCATGATACCTACAACCTGGTCCTTCGATGATGCCTGAAGTTGAAAAACACATAGAAAATAATTGATGGAAAACATGGACCTCATATTCAGTTCACTACCATTAAATCCAACTTTATTTCACTTTGCAAGAAAAATTATCACATCACACATAGTTTAATTTTGTTTTGATAGAAAATAAATTATGGAAAACCTGGACCTCAATGTCAGTTCACTTCCATTCAATTCAACTTTATTTCACTTTGCAAGTAAACTTTTCACATCCACAATACAATAATGGGTGTTACACCAACAACATGGATTGAATAATAACATAATTTAGATATAGTATCGCTAGTAACATTTGTTTGAATCGCAATGTATGGTCGACAAGGGATCTAAAAGATCACGTTTCGTGTGCCGCTGCCGTCAGGTGATGAAATATATTGTAAGCAAGCGTCTTTTATACTCTACTCGTGGACCGGGTAATAACATAATTAAAAGCCAGTAGCCACCAAAAGAGGGAAGCCGATATATATCATTCCAAGAATCACAAAGTCACAGGGCCCGCCATTTGCCTTGAATGATATCAACCTTTTGTGCAGTGCATATTCACTAATGCACACGCAAACATGAATGATTTGTATATTACCTTGAGCTTCCCGGTCATCTTGACCATCTTCTCATAGGTGAGGTGCATCATGAAGAGAGGAAGGACAGCCGTAGCATTCTTCCTCACGTCAGCGCTCCTATCCTCTAGACCAGCCAGCAGGTGAGGGACACACTGAGACAGCTCCGACGGTAACGAGCGGTATTTACCCATCCGCGTCTCTAACCAACCAAAGATCTAGAGTGAGTACAATGAAAGGGAAATTAGACAAATGAATTGACCCGTTTACTAACATATTAAAATTTTATGCATACTGTTTTAAAGACAGGTTTTTCTCAACAACCCATAAGCTGCCCATAGCAGTAAGTAATGTACGCAAACTGGATTCCAAGTTCATTCATTAACAACAGGTTTATGAAATACCTACAATCACTAGGTCCCAAGGAAAGCAACATCCATGAATTAAATCCACAAACCCTCAATTAAATTAAAAACAGTAGAGGTTCTAGGATAGAACCTTGTGGTAAGCCATATGTAATAGAAGAAAAATTGGAGGAATTATTATTATAAACTACATATTGAGATACATTAAATTACTTTCAAACCGAGATGACAGACAAATTTGAGTGTTGTTCAAGTTTCCGGGTGGTGAGTCAACACACCGATAACTGAGCTGGGAGACATTGCCAGGCATAGCGCCAGGTGGAGGGCATAAATCAAAACTTTAAAAAAAGTAAAAAACATGTCGGCGGCAAAAAAGTGCGTCTTATACACGGAGATTTACGGTATTCCGTAATGAGTGAGTTTAACATACCTCAGACCTGAGTACAGGTTTGTCTTTGGCTAGGACAGATACTAGGATCTCATCTTCAATGAAGGGCGCTAGTCCAGTCTGCTCTTCCCATGCCGTCAGTGAGGCGGTAGCAGCGGCTCGCACAGATGGCTGAAAAGATATCAAAGTAATTAGGAATTAAAGACGCAGAGGAGTGGGCTGTCATGAAGCGCGTCTTCATCAGCTCGAGATTGCCAAATAGCCCGGTATTTCTGATTTGGGAAATAATCCCGAAGTTAAAAATCGCGTCTTCATCAGCTCGAGCTTCCACCTCGAAACTTGAAACTTGACCTTAAGAAATTAGCTCGAGATATATTGCTCAGCGTTCGCGCATATTGCGAGTCTTCGGGCTGGTGAAGACGCACCGGAACAAATAGCTGGATATTTTGCTAAATAGTGGGATATTGTGCAAACTATCCCAAGACATCTTGGGATGACAATCCCAACCAAATATCCCGCTATTCAACTTCGGGCTGATGAAGACGCAAATTAGCTGGATAGTTTGCGATCAGGATAGTTCAAATAGCGGGACATTTGGCAATCTTGAGCTAGTGAAAACAGGCCTATGGGGAATTAGACACCATTCGGGTGTTTACCCAATAAACAGGTGTTATCAATCACCAGGATTAGCCTTCAGTTTTATGACCAACAGGCCTTATGTAATGCTCTGCATTTTCCATTTGCTCCCCCATATGGTAAAGTCATTATATTACTTTTCCCTCACCCAAAGACTCTCTGAGAGACTAGAGGTTATTTATTGATAAGACTACGGGTTTGCCGTGTGCAGACTTGTACACCCATTAATGGTATTTTCACCAGGTCTGGTGACAGCGAATTTTGGCCTTTTGCATATGGAAACTGACAACCCACTCCCTTTAAGACCTACTGCAGCATATATCCTACAAAAGTTATGTTCAAATTATTCAATCCTAATTCCATTCCTAGTCATCTCTGTTTGGCACCTATAAAAGACATTAGTGTTTTAATTCATGGCAAATTTCATCCAACAGTATAATGTACTTAGGATTATGCAATTCGTTCTTATAGCCTTTAAAGTTTTTTGTAATATATGCACATTTCAAAAGGAAGTGCACTTGTTCATTGTATCTCATCAGAAACAATTTTCTGGTGGCTCAGTGGTTAGAGCGCCCGCCTCATGAACGGGAGGTCGTGGGTTCAAACCCCGGCCGAGTCATACCAAAGACTGCCTTCTGCCTTCTAGCTAGGCGCTCAGCATATTAGATTGGAGAAGGGTAGTAATAACATATTATGTTATGCAGGGCCTGCTGGAAGATCAAGAGCAGTTTCATAACTGAAGTGGCTACCCCGGGTAAATAAAACATTATTATTATTATTCATTTTCTTGTAAGTTTCATGATCATTCGATGAATCTTTGATAATGATTGTTAGTGTAAATTTCTCCTCTCTGTTTGTTTAATAAATAGCAATGGTTGAACTGAGCGAGTTTGAAGAAGATTGAAATGATATTTGTCTATTATGAAGCAAAAGCATCAAGCTTTTCTTGAACGAAAAGCAAAGCAAAGCAAAAAAAACTTTTATAATGAGGATACCAAATACTTTGTGTATATGTTTATACATATTATTGTTTATTGCCGTTATGAATTTATGTTCTAGACAGAAGTTTTAAATTCTTTTAGGTGATCCTCAGGCATTGGCTGGTGCTAAATATCATTATGTTTATGTTATATCATTTGTCAACCTTGTGATGTTTTTTTATGTTATCATCTTGCCTGGAAATAAAATAAATAAATAAATAAATAAATATCATATATATATTTGTTAATCTATAATGTACCTCATTATGTTCAACAGGACCTCATGGAAGACCACCATTACTGGTGATAATGAGTTACCCTGTCTAAATATCAGAAATAAACAAATAAAAAATACCTTGCTATCCCCACAGAGTAACAGGAGTCCAGCTGCAAAGTTCTTCACATGTTGCTTCGAGGCAGGGCCTAGGGCTGCCGCTATCGTCGCCAGTATGTTTGCCGTTGTTTGCGCCTGGAAAACAAACAGGGAAGAGTAGAACAGTGGGAGGAGAAAAGACAACGAAGACAGCAGCTAGCTACGGCTTCAACAGCACAGCCACAAATGACTTTTGTCTGCAGCAACTGCAACAGGACCTGCCTCTCTAGGATTGGACTGTTCAGTCACAGCAGGAGCTGCGCACCAAGAAACTGACTAGTACAACTAGCACAATATTCTATTGTCTTTCGAGACGGACAGATGCCGAGATTGATATTTCATAATAACTCAAGGACCAAAATTATCAAAGAGAGCAATTCAAAAACCTGTATCAAAGATATCCCAGAACACAACTGGCTGGCCACTTTTATTCTAACAGAGTGGTCCAACCATGGAATAAGCTACCGGACAAAGTTGTGTCTGCACCTACAGTGGCAACTTTTAATAGCCAGTTCAAGAGCCCTATTACTTACTGTATTGGTATCACTTAAGTCGATTTTGCAACTAATAGTTGTTATTTTCCCACTTAGAAACATTTTCAAGCCCCTTGTATTTCTTTGTATCTTTTTTTTTGTTTTTTGTTACTGCTTTAATATTTTGATGTAAACATTTATTCATTTTTACATATTTGTTCTCATTTGCTATGTTTTCTTGATAGTTATATATACGTTTTTGAATGCTTTTTTTTATATGATTGTATGTTTGATGTCAACTTGCATTTTTAGTCTTTGGACTTTTTGACAAGTCTTGAATAAAACCTCATTTGAATTGAATTGAATATGCATGGATGTTTTTTACTTTTATCATTGCCGGAACTGGTAATCCTATTTTACCTCCTATTCTTGCCTCAATTAGCAATTTATTTGAGCAGGGTTATTTAATCTTTACTGATCATTAGCAAGTGAGATTGAACGTGTTCCTGGAAAATGGATAAAACTAAGCCCAACTCCAAATTGAAAACTAATACGCGTTATGGATTCCCTGGCTCTGATCATTTCAGATGTAAAATGCCAAAACATTCAACGGTTTCTAGTATAAATTGGGATCCATATATCTTCACTTAATCTCTAACGCGGACGCGGCTGAAACATTATCATCATCTACTCCTGGTACCAATTTTTAATCAACATCTTCATGAATATTTTCCTAACTCTATGTTTTCTATTCCAATTTCTGTACATGAACTTATACAAATCCCTAAGTCATTGAAGAAAAGTAACGCATGTGGATATGATAATTTGAGTAATAGTTTACTGAAACAAGTAATACATTATATTATTGATCCTTTGGTTCATATTTTTAATATTTCCTTAAATAATAATAGCAATGATAATAATATTGGATATTTATATAGCGCACATATCCACCCTGCAATGTGCTCAAAGCGCTCCAATATTAAAGATAAAGACCAGTTACTTATATGCTAGATGATTAACCTTTTCTGATCGATTCTACACCGATTCTCTCACAATGCAATCTCATGACCAGAACTCAACTTTCTCTTTAATCATCATCATCATCATTATCATAAACAAGCAAGTCTTACCAAGTTTTTGTTGGAATCTCCTAGTCTTCCTTTCAGTGCAGTAGGTAGATCACCTAGGTTGGGTGTGATGAATTTAGCTTCCTTCAAGATCCCAGTTACCTACCACAATCAATAATAATAACATATTATTAATATTCCATGTTTATATAGGGCTAAAATACATCAACGATGTCTTTACAGATATATTATTACCCCAGTTCCATTTGTTCAGGCTTTCCCGCACACAATGTATGCACATTCTTCACTCCCTGGGGATCTTTCCAGCCAGGCGTTGTTTCACAGATAGAAGAAGTAGAAGAAGAAAAGGAAGAAAAGGAAGAAAAAGAAGAAAAAGGAGGAGAGGAAGAAGATAAAGAATAAGGATGATAAGGACAAGGAGGAAGAGAAGAATAAGAACAGGAAGAAGAACAATAACAACAACAACACATCAATTATTCTGCACAAATCAAATGTAACTAAGACTGGATTTTTAGACTATACAAGACCTGTGACACACAAAGTGAGCACAAGTGTAAAGTAGCTTTTAAAAGGAATATTAAGCAGAGAAAGAAAAGGAAATCATCGGCATAGCAACAACGATATGTTAATGCTAAATTTATTACTCATTGCTGATATAGTATCGAAAATAATATCGCTAGTGACATTCGTTTGTCTCGCAATATATGGTCAACAAGGGATCTAAAAGATCACAACGTTTCGTTTGCCGATTTTGGATGCGTACGATATGTCACCATGACACTCCCTGTCCAGCCGGCCCGCATCGAGCCAGCGGCCCATTGATTGGTTGAGCAACCTTGTGCTTCGACCAATAGGCTTTGTCCGTTATTGTTCTAATTATTTGACCGCCGGTCCACCCGGTCCATCCGTAGAGTATAAAGGACGCTTGCAGCGGCACACGAAACGTCGTGATCTTTCAGATCCCTTGTTGACCATACATTGCGAGACAAACGAATGTCACTAGCGATATTATTTTCGATACTATATCCACGATGAGTAATATATTTAGAATTAACAATATGTTAGTTACCTTTTCTAAGGCTTCACCCCTGATCTTCCATTTGGTATCTCCCATCTCAGCAACGAGTTCTGTCGTGATCTGACCTGAGATGTCAGTCCTTGGGATGAGATCTGCCATATTCATTGCTCCTCCTCCTCCTACATCTTCATCCTCCTCCTCTTCATCATCCTCATCAACGTCGCCCTTGTCGTCTTTCTTAGATGCGATCCCTCGGAACGGAGCAGGAGCTTTCTGCCCAGAAACCTAGAGTGCAGTCACAAAGGAGAGATGTGTATAGATGAATATGACAAATTTCCCTTAAGATTTCATACGGCTGTTAGTTTGGGTTTTACATGTACATGTATACATGCTTTAAGCAAGATCTCAGACTAACGTTTCATATTTTCAAAGATGCTAACAGCTTTCCATAATTTTTAAGTCCAACTTAGAGATAAGTTCAACTTAAGATCTTTGTGAAACACCCCTGGTCTCACCTTCTCAATCTCTGCATCAATGGTGACCAAGAGGGCAGCCTTCTCTCCGTCAAACAGCATCCGTAGATTAGCTCCCATGTACATGTACATCACGCCCAGCAGACTGATGGCTGCCGTTCTGACCTGAGGGTTGACCGCTGCCACTGCTGTCTTGAGGAACGCAATCACTTTCTTAGGGGTCACCCTGAGAAGCAATAATAAATAATCATGTTCAATTCTTGCATGTACATGAATGGGCAAGTCTTGGTACTTGGTTGTTGTTCCTCCAAAAGATTCCTAGTGAAATTTAAACTGGAGGTCATGGTGGCAGAGGGTGGACTTTAGGAGATTTCAGAAGAAATGCTACTTTAAACTTTGCCGAGTCTAAGCAATTTGTCCATTATTTTACTGACCACCTTTAAGATTTCAATATATTGGATAATCTTCACTTATTGGTAATATATCTACTTAGGCTTAGATCGGATGTTTTATGAACATGTAGTTATAACAATATTCTGTCCCTAAAACAACCCCAAAACATAATGCCTCTGGCTTCTTCCTAACGGAGGCATTAAAAAGGAAAACTTAAACCTCAAATGAACTTCCTATGTTCAACTTGATTTTGGACTAAAGCTTTAAAGTTTAGATTCATTAGAATACGGGCCTAAAAATCAAGATATTGTTGTTCCCAAATATGTTAATTTATACATACCTACCAAACTTTCACAGCAAAAATTAGGAATCTCTCATAGCAAAATTAGAAATACAATCTATTTTGTATCCTTTTCACACAGAATATTCCAGAAAAAAGAGGAATCTAGGGTACAAAAAATAGCTTGAAGACCCCAAAAATAGGAATCATTCCTCCAAAAATGGAATGGTTGGCAGCTACGTGAATATCCTACTGCTAATCTGTTTTTCTGGAGGCTGTTTCACAAAGCCTTTTTTCAATGACAAACAACAAATATCAGTGACAAATCTACTGATAACCAATCAGAAGCAAGGTTTTCAGTAGCTTATAACCAAAACTGTCATTTGTCACTGATGACAAGTTTTGTGAAATGGGGTCCTGGACTTACGTTGAGAAGCCAAACTCCTGTATAGCTTGTGCAAACCAATTAAGTAGCTCTGCTTGGTTCTTGGGATTCTTCTGCTTCTCAAAGGCATATGTTATCGTCTACAAAAGAGCAAAACAAACTATGATAATAATAATAATAACAATAATAGTTCTTAGGGTTCTTCTGCTTCTCAAAGGCATATGTTTTCGTCTACAAAAGAGCAAAACAAACTATGATAATAATAATAATAATAACAATAATACATCTTGTTTATCCAGTTCTCCCTGAGGGCCCCCGCAATCATTTTATTTCCCCGGCTTTAGCAGTAATTTCAAACAATATTTGTTGATATGGAATTGCATGTTTTTATTTAGTATTTTGAACATGTGTTATAAGATGGAATTTCATTGTCTTAAAAGTGAATTGAACTGAAATGCCAATCAGGTGTTACAGAAAGCTGTTAATATTCATGATGACACTCAAAAGCTTCTGTATTTTTTCACCTCAAGAGAATTTCAGAAATATTTCCGGCCTGCCTGACGAATTAATCAAGAACCTCTGATCTGGACTTCAAATAAAATATCAAACGAAAGATCAAATGATTTTCCTTTACTCAATATCTTTTATCATACAAGCACTAACCGACAATGTTAAGTAATTATTACCAAACTCAAGCTAGTAATTACCCTTTAAGTTGCATTTTGAGTTTACAGACAGAAAAAATTGATTAGCATGTAAAATGGTCTAAATTAGACGGTTGCTTCACCTCTTCGGCTATGTATCCCAGCTGACAGGCCTCGGCGACCGCCGTCAATGATTCCTTGACCTTTGACCCCGACTTGGTGTCACCGATCTTGTCAATGAGAGGTGCTATGACGACCTGAGCACATCGGCGTGAGAACCTTGCTTTCTCTGCTAGGAAGCCTACCAGAGCTATCTTAGCATTCATCACCTGGTGGTGTAACAACATCAATAAGATCAAATTATCTTGCAGGACTGGGGGTGTTTCACAATGATGTTAAATTGAACTTAACTGTAAGTTGGACTTAACATTTATGGAAAGCCATTAGCATCTTTGAAAATATTTTGTAAAAGTTATTTTAAAAGGCATAAAATGTTGATTCTAATGATTCAGATTTTTAAATACCAAGGAGATATTTCATGTCTTTGATGTGGAATTCATAACAATCTAAAATACTTTTTGCTTTGGAATATATTTAATTTTGAGGATACAAATGGCTCTCCATAATGTTAAAGTCCAACTTAGAGTTCAGTTAGGATCTTTGTGAAACACCCCTCTGGTATTGTACTGTACTTGTATTAAAGGGATTGGGTAACTTTGTCTCAGATTCTAAAACAAAATCCTGGATTTAGCTCATGCTGCAATGATACTTTTACAAGCCGATCGCCTGTCTGATTATCAAGATATTTATGATTGGAAATCGAAATCAAATTTTGCGTTTTCCTAACGGTTTTCATAACACTACAGTCTATTGGGGAACACTAGTAATGACATCCAAAGTCCTTTGAAAGCGCAAAGAGAGGTTATATCATAATGTGATATGCGCTATACAAGAACGGCATATTATTATCATGAGTAAATGTTCCGAGGATAAAATGTTCATGAATATGCTAATGACTAGATTTTTGAAATGTCAAGTAAGGGTGAAATTGTACAAGTCAAAATGATGTTCATGTTCTTTAGCCTCATATAGATAACATATAAGCACTTTACTTACCTGAAAATTGGCTTCTTTAAAGCCGGGTTTCTTGGCAAGAACTCTGACAAACACTTGAGCATTGATATCATTCTTCTCCATGTTCTCAACTTTCTGAAAAGTTAAAAAGAATCAAAAGACAGATGCTAAAGATTACTTTTAATATAAGGTTAAATTCCAACGGCATTTGAAAGACTATATTTGTTAGAACTTCCCTCAAAACAAAAGGGTATGAAAATGGCTTTTAGTGGGAAAGTAACAACCATTAGTTGTTGAATCAACATAAGTGATTGCAATCACCTAAGGGTCTAATTTTCAGACCCTTTTTAGTCGGATATTGCTCAAACTTGGGCTAATTTGTTTCTCTTGTTTTTCTGCTTTTATTAATACCAGATAGTTATCAGGGTGGACTTTGTGTTGCACAAAGATTTAATCAGTTTAAGTTTGGCTATTACAAGCAGTGGGTTATTGATGTAGACAAATGCTCATGTACCTTTTACAGCTCATTTTAGGTACATATGTATGTTATTACGAAAGAAAAAAGAAGTCAGTCTGTCAATCAATAGTGTCTGACGGAAGTCTAGCAAGTAATCAGGTTTCCTTGCATAATTGAATACTAGGACACTGCTAACGTTTAGATTTCACAGATAGGACATACATGACATATTCATAATTCCTGCAAAGCTCTACAGAATTTGATGTTGGCTGCAAAAGGGACATAGTATCTTTAAAATAACTTGCATACATTATTGTATCATGATTGTTCATGTCTATTGCCTCGCTCGAGTGACCTCGTTCAATGACCTCGTTTAATGACCTCATTATTTTAAAGTGACTATCGTGTCATTTCTTTGGTAACAAATTAATTTGTTTGCTGTATTTGCTATTTTTTGCTATTTTTGCTCGTTTCACGTTGTATATCATCTGATGTCAAGGCCTTCTTGCCCACCTATTATTATTGTTACGTCCTTCACCATTACAACCACTTCAATCAAATGTTAGTTTTATTTATGGGAACCTATAATCTACAAGCTGAGCTTTTTAATAGGTTCCTCACATTTCACCCTATACTATAACCTTCTATTCAATACAATTAATTTCAACATCTTTTCAAAGAATTACTTATATGATGTGACACTTTTAGTATATTTCATATTATGTTCCAACTTTGTCAATTTTGTGAATTCTTTTGTAAAATGTGAAACAAATAAAACTTGAAACGTGAACTTGCCTTGGTGAATTCTTCCATTGCAGCCAACCTTTCTTTCCAGTTACTGGAGGCTAGTTGAGTTAGAATAGATGCTGAAAGAAGAACCTCTGCTTTATCTTGAACCTCTTCATCCTGTCAATAAATCATTCATACATGTATATTCATTCATTTGCATAATCATGTAATCTATTGAAAGAAGAACTTCTGCTTTAACATGAACCTCTTCATCCTGTCAATAAATCATTCATATATTCATTCATTTGCATAATCATGTAATCTATTGAAAGAGGAACTTCTGCTTTATCATGAACCTCTTCATCATGTCAATAAATCATTCATATATTCATTCATTTACATAATCATGTAATCTATTGAAAGAGGAACTTCTGCTTTATCATGAACCTCTTCATCATGTCAATAAATCATTCATATATTCATTAATTTGCATAATCATGTAATCTATTGAAAGAGGAACTTCTGCTTTATCATGAACCTCTTCATCATGTCAATAAATCATTCATATATTCATTCATTTGCATAATCATGTAATCTATTGAAAGAGGAACTTCTGCTTTATCATGAACCTCTTCATCATGTCAATAAATCATTCATATATTCATTCATTTGCATAATCATGTAATCTATTGAAAGAGGAACTTCTGCTTTATCATGAACCTCTTCATCATGTCAATAAATCATTCATATATTCATTCATTTACATAATCATGTAATCTATTGAAAGAGGAACTTCTGCTTTATCATGAACCTCTTCATCATGTCAATAAATCATTCATATATTCATTAATTTGCATAATCATGTAATCTATTGAAAGAGGAACTTCTGCTTTATCATGAACCTCTTCATCCTGTCAATAAATCATTCATATATTCATTAATTTGCATAATCATGTAATCTATTGAAAGAGGAACTTCTGCTTTATCATGAACCTCTTCATCATGTCAATAAATCATTCATATATTCATTAATTTGCATAATCATGTAATCTATTGAAAGAGGAACTTCTGCTTTATCATAAACCTCTTCATCGAGTCAATAAATCATTGATATATTCATCAATTTAAATAATCATGTAATCTATTGAAAGAAGAACTACTGTTTTATCATAAACCTCTTCATCCTGTCAATAAATCATTCATATATTCATCAATTTGCATAATCATGTAATCTATTCACTATGACCATTCAGTAATACTAAGTTGCTCATAGATGCATTCACTCTATCTCTTCAATAATATATTTATGCTTTTCTGAATCCTATACTTTTACATGTTCACATTTGTATTACTTTCTTTACTTTCTTGCATATGTAGATCTATATGCATTTCCTAACTTGAACAGTTTTGTCCATCACATGAAAGATGAAACAAGTCAAAGCAAAAGAATTTGGCTCTTAAAGATCCTGATGCACTAAGCACCCCTTCCGATAAAAGAGACACAAAGGGTGGTATTCTTGAGAGGGGACTAACTTTAATCCATGGTGTAATCCTCCGACTAAGTATACAATTCCAAGTGTCCATATGTATATGTTTTTAAATAATTTAATCTGTCACTAAATTGAAATCAAATATTATAATTAAACTATGTAATAACATAGTTAATTACAACAATATAACTATGAAATAATTATGTTATCATGGTAATTTTGGGGCATATCAAATTATTCAAAAATATATTCATATGGACACTCGGCCTTCCATACTTAGTCCGAGGATTAAACAATGGACTAAAGTTAGTCCGCTTTCGAGAATACCACCCAAAGACTCTCTGTCTGGAATGTGGGATGATCTTTCAAAGGGAGAGAAAAACAAGATAAGACCGCTCCAGCAAAGTCAATGCTAATGCGTATTGACCTCTAGTGCTGTTTAAGTGCTGAGAAGCATCAATTGCACACTAATGCACACAATGAATACGAAGCGGCTGATCGTCAAGTTTGACGGTAGACTCACGATTTGAATTTTCAAAGAATTTTTTTCTAATATCGGTAAGTTGAAAAGATTGCATTTTACTGCTATTTAGGTGTCATCAATTGTCACTACAGTACCGATTTCAAGTGAACTCTGTTGAGTTTTGTGCAGTAGAATTTGAAATGTTGAGAAGCAATAGAGGTCGTATAAGTAGTTCTTAATACACAACAAGTATACGAATGCTGCTATGTGTGGATAAGACTTACCGTAAGAAAAGGTTCAGATTTCGTCTCTTCTTGACTCTCATTCTTTGGTGCCTTTTTCTTTCCTCCTTTCACTGTTTTACCAGACTATCAAAGAGAAACATACAATAATCATTATCATACTGGTTTATTATACAGACAAACCTGTTTACAGAGGCCACCCAAAGAAACAGGTTTGTCTGTAAAACATGTACATCAATTTAAATGCATCCCTTAAATGGTCTCCTTTGAACAGATTTCTTTTTAAGTTTCCTTCTTTGGAAGCTATTTGTGAGCAATATTATATCTCATACAACACATACCTAACCGGTAACTATTGTAGCATTGGAAACATGTACAGACAAACAGAACTCATAACTACCAACCTTCCTGGGCTAAAAGTAAGACATCTATCATGGGAAAATATGGCATTGGTGTATTTTGTATGCTTTTACACAGAAGTTTTGAGAGAGAAAAAGGAGACAAGTATTCAAAACATCAGGCCTTAAATTTCCATATTTTTAGGGCAAGGCCACTTTTCTGTAGGGCACATTCCTATATTACAGCACAATAGTAAGAATTGGAAAGGGCACAAAAATCTCCAAGGCCAATGAGAGGGGCATTGAGGCCAATCAAAGGGGCATCCAGGCCATGGCCTTGGTGGCCTTGGGTTAATTTAAGCCCTGAAACATTATTTCATTTAGATGCTGCTTATAAGTATTGGCTTGCATTTATTTATTTGATTTATTTCCATGTCAAGATGGTATAATCAATACAATAATCAATAATCAATACAAACATATTGATGAGATATTATTCATAAGGTAACTATTAAACTAGGAATCGTTAAGAGGGAACTTACAGCACTGGCCTCTGACTTTGATTTTGATTTTGCCGTTTTCCCAGACTTGGCCTTAGGAGGAGCTTTGGCAGCGGCCTTGGCAGCAGGAGCCTCCTTTGATGGCCCTGGTTCTGATTTGGGGTCTTTTGCTTTTGCTTTCTTCTTGCCGCCACCATGGGCTAGCTCGACCTTATCACTGTATTCCTTGATCTGAAATATAGAACCAAATTAGTCAACAATTAATACAACAATTCTTCCTATCTCAGAAGGCTCTCAGAACCCCAAAGCTTGGAGCACCAGGGAGGTGTTTCACAAAGATCCTAAGTACAACTTAAATCTAAGTTGAACTTAGAAATTATGGAGAGCCATTTGAAGCCTTAAAATAAAATATATTCAAAGGAAGAAATTCCAGTATTTTAGACTTTTCATTAATTCTACATGTACATCAAGATCATGAAATCTCCTTGATAATAGAAAATATGAATGAATTGAATCAACATCTTTTTAAATAACTTTTACAAACTGTTTTCAAAGATGCTATCGGCTTTCCGTAAATATTAAGTCCAACTTAGAGATAAGTCCCACTTAGGATCTTTGTGAAACACACCCCCCCCCCCCCCCCCAGGAGTGTCAAGCGTAACATTCAAATTCAGTGAACAGTTCTCCCTATCCCATATGGCTCTCAGAACCCCAAAGCTTGCGGTACTCTTCTTCTTTTTTTAATGCAAATCAGCAGATATGCTGAGAAGTGTACAACATGTGTTTATAGCCCGTCCACCTCATTGCTATTTATTGTCATTGACAATATTTTGACATCCAAGCAACAACAACAAACTGTCTTCCAATATGACTGTAAATTTTAGTGTTTATTTTACTGAAACAATAAAATATTGGATTTCCAGTGCAGATAAAATGAAAATAAAAACATGTAAATGGTTGACAATTATTAAAGTATTTGCATAATAAAAAACAACATTATAGAAACAGAAAGAGAAAAAATTTGAGTACATAGTTAACTGGGCCTGGGAGGTGTTTCACAAAGATCCTAAGTCGAACTTATCTCTAAGTTGGACTTAAAAGTTATGGAAAGCCATTAGCATCCTTGAAAATATTTTGTAAAAGTTATTTTAAAAGGCATAAAATGTTGATTCAAATCATTCATATTTTCTATTATCATGGGAGATTTTATGTTCTTGATGTGGAATTTATGGAAAGTCTAAAATACTTGATTTTTCGCTTTTGAATATATTTTATTTTAAGGCTACAAATGGCTCTCCATAACTTTTAAGTTCAACTTAGAGTTAAGTTTGACCTAGAATCTTTGTGAAACACCCCCCTGGTCTTATAAACACTATGAACAAGATGGACAAAGAAAGAGGACAAAATATACAGTTTCTCATTCTACCCTCAACAATTGCTGTGGTAGACAAAGGAACATCCCTTCACTGCTATTATGTAAAAAATGTGTAGAACAGGTGTCACATCGAATTCTTTGTCAGTCATGTTCATAGTGAAAGATTTCATATCAATCGCAACTTAGTCGCAATTGATATTGACATGTATGTATATACATAAGAGATAGGAGACTGCAAACGTGCGGTTGATCAAACTCTCACTATGAACATGACTGACAAAGAAAGTGGACAAAATATACAGTTGCTCAGGTAGATAAAGGAACATCCCTTCACTGCTATTATGTAAAAAGGTGAATATGCATGTGACACCTGTTCTACACATTTTTACATAATAGCAGTGAAGGGATGTTCCTTTGTCTACCTGAGGAACTGTATATTTTGTCCGCTTTCTTTGTCAGTCATGTTCATAGTGTCTTCACAAGATGGGGCACTGGTTTTCCTACTATTCCAAAGAATGTTATGAATTGTTTTGTCATGTCTTGTCTCATCTTATTATGTCAGTCTCCTGTCCTTTGTGTCCCGTTTTGTCATTCTTTTCTTTTTGTATTTTTTTTTATTATTTAGATACTTTAAAATGGTTTACGAAAATATGTTATTATATTATATCTATTTTACTGTGATTATTAAGACACTTTTAAATGATTTATGAAAATAATGTTCATATTATATTTAATCTTGGGAACCTACAAAAACAAGCTATGCGTTCCAGTAGGTTCCTGTTTCATTTCATAATTTTGATCTTACTTTGTACTACAGTATGTTCTTTATTGTGCAAACAATTGTTATATGATATGAAATAAAATCAATCAATAAAAAAAAAATCTTACCTTGTCTAATTTAATCTTTTCTAGATCAGCTAGGAATGGATTCATAGGTTTCTCTCCTACAACCTTCAAGGCTGTTGCCAGTGTTTCAGAAGCCGCTTCTCTGCAGTCTGGTGTTGTATCTGATAGTTTCTGAAAATAACAATTTGAAGGTATGTTAGTTGGTTTGTTTGTTTTACCTGACTGCTAAGAAAGCATACGTGTGCTTGTAAGTAAAGCAACCAAGGGACCCATGGCTTTAAGTCCTCTCCGAGGGACTTGGTAATGTGGATTAATGCTTTACCAAAGGGCAGTAGCGCATCGACTTGGGTTTCGAACCCGGGACCTCCCAGTTACAAGACCACTGCTCTACCACCGAGCCATCACGCCTCCGTTCAAACTCAAATACGCAAAATCAGAATAATAAAGAAAATATCTAGTGAAAACTTTCTCCCAAATAACAATTTTTGAGCATAACAGCAAATCTCAATATTGGTTCATGCTAAGAGAAGCAAACGATTAAGTTTCAGTATTCCCAAGAAAATCACTACTTTGTTGAGGCAATCAGCATTTCTCACATTAACACAAGTTCAATTAAACTCAAAGAAAATTAAACTTTAATTAAAAACGTTATTTCTTTAAACCTCAGATGTCACTATGAAATACTACAAAATCATTTCTAATCGGCAATAGAGCGGTGAAGTGTGACGTCATCAAAATTATATTCTATAACAATGAATTCCTATAGGAAATATATTTATTCAGATGGTCATATCTCAGCCAATACTTAACATATTCAATTGGTTTTTCGACATTTGGACATTATTCTTGATGCTTTTTCGGGAAATGAAGAAAAAATTGAGAAATAGATTTTTATGCGTCACAGCTTCGGTACTCTATTCCGTATACACATTTCAAATTTGACTTACTTTGACCAACGATATACAGAGTGGTTTGAGAATCGCTTTAGGAAGCGTTGCAGGTGTGCATTGTCTGAAATACTACAAAATCATTTCTAATCAGCAATTCCGTATACACATTTCAAATTTGACTTACTTTGACTAACGATATACAGAGTGGTTTGAGAATCGCTTTAGGAAGCGTTGCAGGTGTGCATTGTCTGAACGCCCTTCCAAGGAATAGTGCTGTCTCGGTCCTGATGGAAGGATTCTTGTTGTCTAGGGCTGCTAGAACGTCTTCTAGAATGTTCTGAAACGTTGTCTAAAGAGAAATGCAAATACATCATAATTACAGGTATTCTTGAATCTTTGTCTTGATTCCATGTATAATGATTTGCCTCTGTGCTTTATTTCTCATTTGTATTAAAGGTTATATGCTTTTACTGTAATTATATAAAAAAAAATTGAACATGAACTTGATTATCAATAATTTATATATGTTCCAAAATGGTTATGAAAAGAAAAAAAATGCCATTGTTCTCGCCCCAGCAGGCGAGACTAGCCAATGGCCTGTTGATTGATCGAGCGCCAGTGTGCTTCGACCAATAGGCTTTGTCTGTTATTGTCCTAATTATTTGACCGCCGGTCCCCCCGTCTATCCGTAGAGTATAAGAGATGCTTGCTCACAAAATATATTATCACCTGACGAAGTGTAGCAGCGGCACACGAAACGTCGTGATCTTTCAGATCACTTGTTGACCATACATTGCGAGACAAACGAATGTCACTAGCGATATTATTTTCGATCAAAAAAAAAGTTTGTTAAAAAAAAGAATTGCAGGTGTTTATTTGCCCTGAGCAATGTTTAGTGTATACTTACTGTTGGGAAGATGGCATCAATGGCTTCTCTGAGAGCCGTCACTACATTTATTTTCTTCTCTTTGAACTTATCTAGGATTGATGATATACACTGAAGGTAAAAAGAACGGGGAAAAAGAAGGAAAAAAAGATCAGTTTAGATTAAATGCATTGGAATTATTCAATACCAAAACAGAAGGAAAAGGTCAAGAAACAACATTTATTTTCTTCTTTTTGAACTTATCTAGGAATGATAATACATACTGAAGGTAAAAAGAAGAAGAAAAAAGGGTAAGTTTAGATTAAATGCATTGGAATTATTCAAGGAAAAGGTCAAGAAACAACATTTATTTTATTCTCTTTGAATTTGTCTAGGATTTATGATATATACAATGAAATTAAAACAAACAAACAAAAACAAAAGAAAATAGATTAGTTTAGATTACAGACATTGGAATTATTCAATATTTTGTTTGTTGAAAAATCGTATTTTTAAGAGGTGATATCGTATTATCGTACTAAAAATGATTTAATCGTACTGGTTGGCATCTCTGGGTCTTGCACACCATCTAATCATCCTCATCTCGGCCTGTTCAACAAACTGTACACTCCATGACTTCAATACCCTGGTCTCACTGCTGTACACCTTGCATTTTTCACAAAATTCATTAAAATTCAACTGAACATGGTAGCACAGATAAACATCATTGTGTATCAATGGCAAGTTTTATGAAAGGAAAAAGATAGTGGCCGCTATCAAGAGACAAAGAGTACGTTTTACTTACTGCAACTGCATACGGGGAGAACTTCTTGCGTATTCCAAGAGCGATACCTGCCATACACTTCCCTGCGAGGGCCACTATCATCACGTTATTATCTTTGGCTACCGTCTGTTATCAAAGACATAACAGTAAATATCAATATTTTTTTATTTATTTATTTATTTCGGTTTAAAAAGACATAACATGATTCAAAGGTCCAAGGACCAAAATTAATCATGTTTACAAGTTATACAATACAGTTATAAATACAATAAATAAACAATAGTGAGCCAAACGAAAAGGTATGACAAGTACAAGATTGTAATAAAGATGAACAAAATAATAAATTTCAATCAATAAAATACCGAAATAAACTAAGAGAAAGTAGTGGTCAAGATCGTCAAATTACTAAACTGTTATATGGTAATGGTAGCAGATAAACATACAATAATAATGTTGAGTAACCAAACAATAAATTAAAAAAATTAAAAAATATAGGGGTAAGAATACGATAAGAATGAGGCTGAGTATTGTATGGAATGGTGTGTACCAGTTTCTATTCAGATTCGGGTGTTTCAATATGGTTTCGTGACAATGCAAATAAAGGCCATTTCACAAAAATACACTCATAAATTAAAACATATCTTTGATATTGCTTTTTAAAATCTATGTTAACAATCTTCAGCATGATAGTAATACTTTTTGTAGATGATACAAACCTTTTTATATCCGACAATGATTAAAACAATTTAGTTTTTAAATTAAAGGTTGAATTACAAAAGATATATGAACAGTGTCTTACGAAAAGATTGAAGTTGAATATTGATAAGACATGTTGTATGATTTTGCACACATATGAAATGGCTTCCTTGATATTATCAGGGACGTGATAGAGAAGGACTGGAATCAAGCCGCTCTCCTTTGACCCCATGCTCCAAGCCGGCGAAAAGTTATGCGCTAATCTGCAACTGTTGACCAGGTGGTCAGATAAAAAAGCGCATGAAATTTCAGGATTTAAAATTCCTACATCAGAAAATGGTATCACAGCAACTGTTGGCTGTCCCTTTCAATGATTTCTCATCCATTGTTGAATGTGTAAAGAGTAGAAAAAGCGAACACAAACTTGTGTAATTTCATCCTTTTTTTAACTTCAAAAATTAAAAAAACACGCGAAAAACACGCATTCGCAAACTTAATGGTATTGAAGATTGTGAATCATGGATTAAATAACAGGACATTAAAACATGCACAAATTAGCGCATTATCCTGAGTTTTGAGTTGAGTATTGAGTTTTTGTCAGGATGTAATTTTTCTTTTACCAACTCTGGCACACAAATTATAGAAAGGAATTTGTTTGATGCACTATTCCCAATACAATCCCCATATAAAGTTTTTGATTTACACTGAAATTTTGCCGGTAATTTAATATGTTGTAATAAATGGAAAACTGGTGCCTGGCTTCCGAGAGTCCCCGCAGTCGAAGCACGGTTCGGAGCATGGAACTTCAAAGCCGAGTGGAATGTTACACATCCCATTGTTACGCTTTGGAACTCATGAATGCGTTTGAATAAATTACAAGAGTTTCGCCTCCTTTCTTTCACCTATTTGATATTATTGTTTTCTCACCTTTTTAAGTACCCTGACAAGTTCAGCGAAGTCTCCTGGTTCTATCTTAGGATTCGCAGTCAAGGGTTGGAGAACCTCCAAAGCCTCTTTCCTTGTCTGCCACTTCTTGGCCTCCTGTTGTTGGTTGTCACAAGAAACGATAAAGAGATGTATAATTAAAGATAAAGGCGAGTTCTGGTCATCCGATTGCATTGTGAAAGAAAGGTTGTGGAATCGACCAGAAAAGGTTAATCATCTAGCATATAAGTATTTGTGTGTATTGCAAGGTTCTGTTGTATATGGGACTACACGAAAATGTGGCATAAAAATCAGTCCTGATTTTTAGGATGTTACATGACATATTTAGAATATGAAGGCAATTGAAGAGCCATGCTTTTCAGGGAACATGTTTTATCTGATGTTCTTCCACACTTGCATAATAACAATGATAACGCTCACAAATTATTGTTCACCTCTTCCCAGAACTCAACCTTCTCTTTAATGCTTTATTGCCATGGATTGAATCCCTTGAATTCCACATTGTTTGGAGTACATTATACTACATGTCCACTGTATGTGTGCCAAAAGTTGAATGTGGCAGTATATCGTTTGTTCCATTGGTCGACCAAAACTGGTAAAGAGTTATGATTAAATTTCAATGTGTTGTCAAACATCTACGGTAGAATGAATTGAACCCTGGGCTGCCACATAGTTTGGAGTATATCATACATGTACACTGTATCATACCTGCCAACATTTGAAAATAAGAATTAGGAAATTTTAGCACGGTATGCCTTCGAAAATAAGAAATCACACTTGCAGCGGCAGTGTAACTGGCAATACGCGGTAAATCTGGACCAAAAAGCAAATTTGTGGGGCATGCAGCAATTCAACGTACACAATACATGAACTCTCAAATCGCGGCGCATGATAAAACGAGCTTAATATGGCTTCAGCACAACAACACCGTTTGTTAACAGACGATGCTTATCCTTGGTCCTTTGTGGATAATGTCTTTGATTCCAACACTATTCAGCATTCAATACTCTTCAAAAGCAAGTGACAAGAAAATCAATTTCTCTTTCAATGATTCAGCTTGTATGGTACCATCTCAATGCCAAGAAAAAAATCAAACAGAATCACGAGCAGAACAAAGTACTCACCATGTTTTCATAAAAGTCTTTGGGTAACTTAGCCAGGATATCCACAGGCTCTAGGAGATCATAGGGATCTATTGCAGGACCGGCTGTGTCCGCTTCATCTGTAAGAAATACAAGATACAGGGTGATAGTGAGCATCTAACAACATTCCCCCATTTTGAGTAACATAATTAAATAAAATAAGGAAAAATAGGGAAGAAAAGAGAAAATAACGGTAAAAATCTGGAAAATTGGGATAAAATCGGGAAGAAAAAAAAAATTGGGTTAAAAAAAAAAAAAAAAAAAAAAAATTAAATTAGGTTTTTATCAGGCCTGAAGATAGAGAATAGAGGAGAAAATCAACAAATCTAATCTGCATTTCTTGTAGGTAAATTTAGCATACGACCTCAAATGACCTTTCACCTTAGCATGTGAACCTCGACAGCATCGTAACATTTTAACAATTTATATACATATTTCATGAAGTGTATATTGTTTTAGATTAGCATGTTTTTTTTTTACTGGAATGTGAAAAAATAAAGAAAATGCAATGAAATTTGGAGGCCTTGGTTATCACCTCCACCTTTGGTAGGCAAGACTAGGAATGGACACCACCACGAGGATGGGTGACCTACCTTCTTCTTCTTCTTCCTCTCCATCTTCCTGGGCCTGGGCCTTGGCCTTGAGATCCTGCTGGGACTTGAGGAATCTTGTCTGCTTGGCAGCCTTTCCTGGTAACTTCTCAAACTCCTCTTCCAACTCCTTCAACTATATCACAAACAGATAATAATAATAATAATAATAATAATAATAATAATAATAATAAAAACGTACTTATAAAGCGCTTACCACCGAAGTTTCTAAGCGCTATAACACACAAAATAGACTGATATACAATTACATATTAAACAAAACTAAAAAGTGCAAATAAACCTACAAATTACAATACATATTAAGGGTTAATTAATAACCGACCGCAATTATGATATATCACATCATGAACATAGCAACATCGATGACCTCTGACATTGAATGACCCCGATGACCTTAGTTTCATATCAAGAAATGTCATCACATTATATTTAAAACCAACATTGTCTTACATAACCTTGGTTTTTGCTGTGAATTAGTCCGATATTGAATATTGATTGCTTAATACTATATTCATTCACTTCACTGATGACAAGGTCAAGGTCAAGGTCAAGCTTTAGCACGGCTGCCATTACAGCGCTCAAGCATTTCAAGGAACTAATTACTGCCAGGTACCCATTATCTTCACCTGGGTGGAGTATGGCAAACACAGATTAATGTCTTGCCAAAGGGCATTAGTGCTGCGACAGTGTCCACAGTCCGGACACTTATCCACTGACACCTCTACATCTATTGCATTTTATAAGATGATGACGTAGATCCTAATCAAATGATTGGTTGAAAGCGTACACGTGACCAGGCATTTATTTTGGCTAACGCGCAATTTGGATAATGACCGGTCATTATCCAACTCTAATGACTGGTCATTATCCAAATCATGTTATAAAACACCATTTTATATATCAAATAAAACAATCTTATAAAACACATCATTTTGATTGGGCATTAATAAAATTACCCGCACTCGGTACCTTCAAAACAGTCCAAACACCCTCGGTTATCGCCTCAGGCGTGTGAGACCGTTTCAAAGGTACCTCATGTGGGTAATTCTTCCTAATGCACTCACTGATGTATATTATTTGTATACCAATACTAAAAAATAAAAAATAAATTAATACATACAGGGATCCATCTTAACGCGCAATTTTCTAATAATAAATCCATCTTACCTGCACAGGTTTGATATTCTGTAGACTTGGTTTAATGGCAGCACCGATCCATCGGTAGAGGTCTATGGCTAGCTGCTTGGCTTTCTCTCTTACATTCTTATCACTGTGTTCAAGAACCTTAGGAACGGACTTGACAATGGGTTTGAGTGTGATGACCTTCGACCCAAACTCTCTGACGGCCGAAGCCATGACTTCCAAGCATGCAGTGACAATCTTTGGTTGTTTGTTTGTGAGTCCTTTCAGAAGCTCCTCCTGTAGGTAATACATACGACAGGTATATGATTTATAATTTCCTTTTAATACACAGGGAAGGCCCATCAGCATCAATGCTGTCGTTCCTGAGCACCCTGTTATTATTATTACTCCAGCAATTGCCATGAAGCTGACATAAATGACGGTGAGTACTTTACACTCCGTGATATGCATACCGAAAATCATGCAGATGATGATAAAAAGAGCCAGGCAGGACAGATGTGTTCCTTGCCAGGAAATCCACTTTGTCCTGTAACTAGCCTCAAAATGTATCTGTCTTAAAGGTATTACAAAGTTTTGGGAAATTTTGAAAATTGGCTGGAAGTGATTCTTTACAATTTTGAAATATTTGGATGCCCCTGTGGATGTATTATAATCACTAGAAAATTCAGCCCCTAAAACACTTCGGCTTTCGAGAAATATTAAATATAAAAATTTACCGGTGCTCCCGGTAAATTTTGATAAATTTCAAATAGCGCCTACGGCCGTACGATGGTACCTGCGACCATGAAAATCTCAGAATATGTAGTTGTGATATATATAATTTTCAAACAGGAAGCTAATCGGTCGATTTTGTCCTGAAACATTGTTTTATAGCTTAATTAATATATTTACCTTGAGAGGGAGCTATACAACATAAAGAGTGTATTATTTACAATTTCATAACTTTAGACTCGATTTCAACCGTGACAACGTCACTGAATATTGTAGGATCGCATATGCTTCCAATATGTTCATTTGAACCAAATTCATGACCCCATACCAAAACTTTGTATTACCTTTAACTGAATACTGACTGTAAATGGTTGCTTAATACTAAATACTTACAGAACCCAAGGTATTTCTCTCTACTAGGATGGGATCCAATCTAACACTTACATGTACTAACTACACCTATGAATTGAAATTAATTACTTAGTCTGAATTATGAATCAGATTTTAGTCTGCATGTTGAACTATCACATTTTTTTTGTGTGTTTGTGTTACCTACAATACGTTCAAGTCAAATGTACTATTCTTCGTATCTTATTGATGTTTCAATCTTGTAGTGACATGCAAATAAAACAAATTTCCAATCATTGGACAATAAATTTGGAATTTGAATTTGAATTATATCAAAGGAGTGGTTCATACCATAACTTGCTCTTGTTTCTCGAGTTCTATGTACACCATAAGAATCTCCATGGCTTTCTCTTTCGTCTTGGTCCTTGAGGAATTCAGACATTTTGCCACCACACCAGCAGTGACTTCACCAACAGTTCTGTACAGGAAAGAAATACAATCAAGCTTATTTTTACATTTTAAATTTTAATATGTTTCATAGTTATGCTCAAATATTATTTAATAAAATTATTACATTTATATTCTCAAGTGGTTATGTTCATTTCATGCAACTTATGGTTCTAGGATTATATTCGTGCTGAATGTTCAGAGTTGAGGAGAAACAAATAATTCTAAACCCAGGGCAAATTATTGAAAAAGAACCTTTGACTTTAGAGGTTCAGTGTTGTATCACGTGTTACCATTGGCGTTACGCAACTGTGATACATTGTCTTTCTTTAAGAGACACTTGACAGAAAGTCTATATGAACCTAGATCATTGTAGATTACGTAGTTGTAGTTATAATGTGAACTTTATATTGAGACCTTGACCATATAGAGAATGTCGGTAATTCACATTTATTTGTAGTTTACTTTACACAATTCTGTTTCTATAAATACTAGTTTCTTTTCTCTAAACTGCAGGGAATAATTTTCTTCAAATTTTTTGATTAGCAATTTCAGGCGATGGATAAATATTTCAAATGAAATTCTGTACATTTCTATGGAAGAAAACTGCTACACAAAAGATATTTTGTATAGCAGTCATGCAAAAATGCATAGCAAATTGCGATGCGATACCAGGAAAATTATTCCCTGTACTGTCTGTCCTGGATATTTAATTTCTTACTATATTTTGCTTGGGAATTCATGTTTTGCCATTGTTCTTTGTCGTTTGTTTATGTACATTCATTGTATTGTTTTACTGTACCATTTCTGGTCCCCATGGAAGACCAGCGGCATCATAACGAGGATACCGCTGAATATGGGCTATCCAGTCGTTTTATTTTATCTTGTACATGTAATTCTTATTCTGTTTGTTATTGTTTTACTGAATGCATGATGTCTTTTTTATATGGAAATAAAACAAACAAGCAAACTACCGGTACTTATTTACTATGAATGCAACAAAAGCAGGGGAAAAATACACAGGGGCTAAGGGCAAATTAGCCCCCGAAATGCCAAAAAGAGCCCCCGAAAGTCATAAAAGAGCCTCCTAAAATTGCATAGAGTTCAGAGCAAAACAAAATAAAGGGTGTTATTTTCATGCAAGCAAGCTTGAAAAGTAGCCCCTTAAATTTTTTAAGTATTTTTTTCCCTGAACAAGAGTGTCCTTTTTTCTCTCCCTTCATTCAAAGACGCAAACTGAATAAATCAAATAGTATAAAAAAGCATCATAATCATAATGAGAAATGGATTTTTAAAAAATTTTAATCATCATGAGAATAATAATAATAATAATAATAATATTCTGTTTCTATAGCGCTCAATACATCGATCCGACAATGTGCCTACGCGCTTTACAGATATACAGATATTACAGATATATTATTACCCCGGTCATCGGATTCAGGCTCACCCGCACACAATGTATGCACATTTTCCACTCCCTGGGGAGCATTCCCATGGATAATCCAATCAAAATGAGAAATACATACCTGGGTGCTACGTGGGCACTTTCTAGGAAGGCCAGCACAGCCTCTAGTCCTTTCTCTTGTGCTACAGCATTACTATCAGTCACAAACTTCTTCAATAGACCAGCGTACTTGGAAAACTCGGGACTCTTCTCTTCGCTGATCTTTTTGAAAAGCTTCGTCGCCTCCTCGTAACCGTGCAGTCGGGCTTTCCAAACCTGAAATGAAATAAAAGGACATTTTAGTTTTCAATAGTTTGCGGAAAAGCACAGAAGTTTAGTCAAACCTGCTTTTAATAGCGACCACCTGTCAACAAAGACCACATTTGTCATGTTTCCCTTGAGAGGTCTTTATATGGACATGCATACATGTATGTATTTGATATGCAATATTGTTTAGGATAGATTTTTTGCTACTGTACATGTATGTAGAGCAAGCCTTCAACAAGCTTTAGATTGCCAAGAGGGCCTTGATAAGCTTGCTCAATATACATAGCAGGGTTGGCCAGGACTATACATTGTATATCCCTCGTAGCTCACAGAGATTCCAAGCTAGGAACTATTACAATTCGACTACCTTGACCAATTAAACTAAAGAACCAGACTAGGCATTAATAGCCCAAAATACAACCCACAACAACTGTCATACAACTTCTCAACAGCTCTGTTTTCCTGGCCATGCCTGCTAGGTCAGTAAACCAATGACCTTACCTCGTGCTGGCACAAGTCAACGGTAGACATCCTCAGGTCTGCCTCTTCTATGTAATGATCAGTTATTGACTCAAGACTCCCACCTAACAATACTGGCATATCACCAAAATAAGCGCGTCTCTGCCGTTCATCCCCCATGTTCACTGGCAGCAACTTTCAACTTCATCCAAATTATATCTTCGACTTTTAATACTCGATTGTTGCATTCATGTATGAAAAATCCCAGAATTGTATCATAATTATGACAGGCATGTAGATTTCAGACAATCTGCATAACAATTGTGGGAGTGCTTATTGATTTTAATTGTAGCACAGCTGTCCTTTTTCCCTTTTGCTTTCCAGGGACAGGGAGGAGCCGGGTTTCTCACTAGTTTACAATACCTTGTTCGCACCGCCAAGCTGATTCAAAACCGTCTCCAAAACGACCAACAATTTTGTACACATGTATCATTTGCTGTTTGGAGTATTATCCAGAGGTGATAGTGAGCACTAAAAAAAAAATAGGTTTTTTGTTTTCCCCTCAATCACGCCCCCCTTGAGTAAAAAAAAAGAAGAGGATTCGCGGGGGAAAAATAGCATCTAACAACATTCCCCCCTTTTGAGTAAGAAAAATGGGAAAAAAATAGGGCAAAACAGGGAAGAATAGAGAAAATAAGGGGGGGTCAGGAAAAAAATTGGGAAAAAATTGGGAAAAATAAAAAAAAATTGGGAAACCGATTTAAATCGGGGTTTTATCAGGCCTGTATTATCGGTCTAGTGTCGCTTTCATCGGTGTATTAAACTGAGTGAGAACACGGCAACTTGGTGCTCTTATCAATTTTTGGTTGACTAAAGAGTAAAAATATCAAAGACAGAAATTCTCCCTGACAAGGACAATACATGAATGCATGTAACACCTGCGACATAGCATTGGTACTCCCAAGCAACCCCTGGGATATTACAAGGCCATATTTCTCATATTTCGGCACTTATGCCTTTAGGCAAGACACTAAATACATGTGCCACTCTCCACCCAGGTGAGATGAAGTAAATGGGTATCCGTAAGGGTGAAATTCCTTGAATGCTTGAGCGCCTTTTCAAGGTAGCTCAGCTAAAGCCGGAGTTATAATACGGTTGCAGGGCCCTCATTAGGCGCATCTTCGTCATCTCGAGATTGCCAAATAGCCCGCTATTTCTGATTTGGGAAATAATCCTGAAGTTACAAATCGCGTCATCATCAGCTCGAGATTCGACCTCAAAACTTGAAACTCGACCTTGAGAAATTAGCTCGAGATTATTTGCTCAGCGTTCGCTCATAGTGCGAGTCTTCGGTCTGGTGAAAATGCACCGGACAAATCAGTGAAAAAAATACACGGGGATCAGGGCAAATTTGCCCCCAATATGCCCAAAAGAGCCCCCCGTAAATTTGCATAGAGTTCAATGCGAAACAAATTTTAAAGTGTTATTTTTATGCAGGCAAGCTTGAAAAGTAGCCCCCGAAAAATAAATATTAATTTTCTCCCTGGGACAAATAGCTGGATATTTTGCCAAAAAGTGGGATATTTTGCAAACTATCCCAAGATATCTTGGGATGACAATCCCAACCAAATATCCCGCTAATTGCAACTTCGGGCTGATGAAGACGCAAATTAGCTGGATAGTTCAAATAGCTGGATATTTGGCAATCTCGAGCTAGTGAAGTCGGCCTAGGGAGAACAGTTTTAATACTGAAAAGGCTACATGTACCCTGGGCAAACATGAGATATTATCATCATTATTATTATTGCTGTTTCAATACTAACCTTGTGAACGCATTGTTCATCAATGGGAAGTTTCAAATATTCTTGATCATCTGCCATTATGCCTCATTGGTCAGGTGATCAGTGTCAGGTGATCAGTGTCAGGTGATCAGTGTTGGTCAAACAAGATAATTTGGATGCGATCTGTGTTCGTACTTCCTTCAACTGCAATGATCGACAGGAACTAGTCTGAGAAAAACGAGATAGAACAGATAGAGAGAAGACAAAATAATTATCAGTTGCAAGATGCAATACATGTACCAGGGTGGTCCACAAATGGTTTTGTAACAGCGACAGTTTTTATAAAGTATGAAAATCAGCAATAAGCATTGTTTAACAAGATTTCCAGGTTTATGAATATGAGATGCATGGCCCTTAATGTGTTATCAGTGTCTGTGATACAGTGTAATATTGAAGCCCTAAACAAATTGCGCTTTTACATGATCATAAAGTGCTTCAAAAAAAGTAAAAACCTTCGGGTGACCGGTTTTACCATACTAATTTCTCCCAATAGACTGTAATGTTACCAAAAAATGCTGTGAAAACGTTTTTTTGGAATTTCGAATTCCAATCATGAATATCTTGATAATCAGACAGGCTTGTAAAAGTCATGGGATTCCTGACTACCTAAAGGATTGTACTTATGATTGCAGCATGGGCTACATGTAACTGCAGGATTTTGTTTAGAATCTGAGGAAAAGATACCCATTCCCTGAACAAAATTAGTTATGAAATCTCAGTCTTAAAATTGGTTTGAAAGTGCTTCAAAATATGGTGCAGAGTGCACCTACAATGTACATGTACACTGTAATAATCTAAACAAGCCCAGGGGGGAGTTTCACAAAGATCCTAAGTTGAACTTATCTCTAAGTTTGACTTAACAATTATGGGGAGCCATTTGTAGTCTGAAAATAAAATATATTCAAAAGCGAGAATTCAAATATTTTAGACTTTATATCAATTCCACTTCAAGAACATGAAATCTCCTTTATAATAGAAAATAGGAATGATTTGAATCAACATTTTATACCTTTTATAATAACTTTCACAAAATATTTTCAAATATGCTAATGGCTTTCCATAATTGTTAAGTCAAACTTAGAGATAAGTTCAACTTAGGATCTTTGTGAAACACCCCCCTGGACTTCCACGCTTCACTTACATGTACATCAGTTCATACACATACATGTACATTTAAGTTTAAATGTCTAAAATAAATGCCTCATAAAATTCATAATACATTTTTGCGAAAAGAATAAAACAAAAACACTATGAACATGAGTGAAACTGGGGAAGAGTTTGGGCAAAGTAGAACCATATCAGATGTCAACCAAGTACAATGTATAATGTGGTATACATGTACATTGTACATGTCCATACTGAATTCTACACAGCAGATAGTATTTGGACATACGGTACAATACCTTTTTGCATACTTCATTACAGTTCACAACATGGCCACTGAGTGTCTTGGACTAGACCAGTTTACTATTAAAGGTAAAGATCAGTTTTGGAAACGCCCCCCCCCCCCCTCTCAAAAAATGAAAATTAAGCTCTTATAACCAATCATGTGAAAGAATATGTTTTTACTAATACGTGATCATACAAATTTTGTTGAGAAATCGCCTACTAATTGATATATTTGGTAAATTATCATATATCTATTTGGACCTGATAGATATTGTGCATGTGTCGCGTAGTCCCATATACATCTTTCTGTGTACAGTGCTTGTAACTTTACCAAGACTGGGCCAAATTTCTTATCATTTTGATGATTCCGGACCTTGCAGTACACACCAATACTTATATGCTAGATGATCAACCTTTTCTGATCGATTGTGTCCTTCGGGAGCTTATGGCGGCGTCCGTGTGCTGCGCTCTATATACCCAAGCTTGAACATCTTTAATACATTGTACATGTACATGCAAGCATTTCAGTATTCATGTTCATACATGTACTATGACACATAGATTACGTTCAATTCCTGTAATTGTATGAGTGGATAAGGATTCATGTCCCATACCCGTCAATCTGCCAGGTAGCAAAAATTAGTCATCTCCAAGGCCCACATTAGGAATATGGTACATTTGACATGCTTTTATACAGATGTTTTCAAAAAAATAGAGAGGCATGTACAGGTTTCATGACGCCAGTTTTGCGGCAGAAAAATAGGAATTTTTCCTCATAAATAGTAAAGGTTGGCATGCAGTCATGATGCATTATCATAGTTGCTCAGTTGTGAGGAATATACGTGTACGCTGTACGTCCTATTGATCTGATCCTTGGAATCCAATTGTAGAAGACAGACAATGTCATGAAAGTTGATACCATCATCATTATTCATTTACAAAGAAAGTATGTCTCACTATCACTATCAGTCAGATTGTCCTGCTGTACAGTATGCATGCATGTACTATAGGTGTATACAACACATTCAATGAATTAAATGCACATCCATGTCCATAGAGATGCCAACATCTTGAAGAAAAAAAAACAGAGATCCTAAAAAATCAGATTTTGGAGAGAAAAATCAGATTTTGGAGAGAAAAATCCGATTTTCATGAGAACTTTGTATTACACTGTACCTTTAATGTTTTTTATGGAGAATGAAATAAAATTGATTGAATTGAATTGAACAGATATGAGGGGAAAAGGATGTATTCATCAAAATGTGTTCTGCTCCCGATTTATGTGTTTTTGATTTTCAACCGGAAACTCCCCTTCCCAAAACATGCATGTACTGTATGCACATGGAGACACTAGACGTGTGGTGAACCCTTAGTATGAGAATTCACAAGTCACAACACACAAGAAGGCTGGCTATGACATATCAGTGTTTAAAAAAAAATACTTTTCTATTCGAGGGGGCTCTTTTAGCATTTGTTGTACAAAGTGTGATTTTCTTAGAGATAATAATTTTATTGGGTTTTTGTTTATACCAGAGCACTTTTTGAGCTTTTAACAGCTATATTGCTCACCGCCCTTGTCATTATGCAGGTCTGAATCAAGACTATCGAGAGAGCAATTGTATTTATAGATATGTGTGATGAGTCATCCCATGTAGGGTGCATCCCGACAGAGCTAGAGCAACGTCTTCACTCAGTGAGTGCACAATCTCTGCATACAGATCACAATGCTCACTGATAATAATAATGCCTATTCCAACTACACATAAATTTCACCTCAGCTCACAAGTAGTCTTGCATTTCAGACCATTAACTTTATATATTTAATTCAATTCTTTTTATTCATCCAAATTCACAAGAATACAAGGAAATTTGTTACATCTGTACAAAAGTGTATTTGCATTGTTTACTTCCATTTAAAGAGATTTCAAATTTCTGCAAAGATCTCTCCCAAGGAGTATACAGTATTTAAGACTTGAAGTAGCCCCCCCCCCCCCCACACACACACACACAATTTATCCAAACCCCCCCCCCCCCCACCCGAAAAAAATCCCTCTCTTTCTCTCTCTCTTTCTCATTCTCTCTCACACAAACCCAATTGTATGTTCCCCTCTCCTCGTTCTATTTTTCTCCATTTCCACACAAACAATGTACATGTATACATACATGTACATGTACATGTATATCCAGTGATTTCTCTCATTCTCTCTCTCTTATTCTTATTCTCATTCTTATTTCTATGTCCTTTTCCATCTCCTCTTTTTCTCTCCCTCTCTCTTTTTTTCAATCTGATGAAACCTTTCAACTAAATTCCAGCAAGCAAAAATGTAATTTAACATCAACAGCATAAATTCTGCAAGGGCAGCTTGCCAGACAATTCTGTTTAACAAGCCAAAATATCAAGAAAAACAAAAAACAGAGAGCACTTTTTTGTTGTTGTTCCATTTTGATACAATAAATGGATATGATGCACCATCAACTATTGTCATAAATGACAGTCGAGAAGCGTTTGCTTGCAAATAATAAATCATCATAACCGTAATTATTTAAACAGTGAAAGAGTTCGCTGTATGTCCTTCTTTTTAAAAGGGGACCATTTTCAAGAGTTCTGAAAGTTGATGTAAATTATTTCGGAGGAAAAGGCTTGGAGAGTTTGTGTCTGGGAGGCTCGCATACTGTCAGCCTTGTTTTTATTTTCCATGAAATGAATGTTAAAGAGAACCTTGAGTTCTGGGGAGAGGTGAAAAATAATTTGTGAGCGTTATCATTGTTATTATGCAAGTGTGGAAGAACATCAGATTAAAAAGGTTCCCTGAAAAGCATGGCCCTTCAAATGCCTTCATATTCCTTCATATTCTAAATATTCATACAAAATAAGGCCCAATTATTATGCTACATGGTTGTGTCATCCGTATACATCTTTCTGTGTACAGTGCTTGTTATTTGACCAAGACTGGGCCAAATTTCTTATCATTTTGATGACTCCAGAACCTTGCAGTACACACCAATACTTATATGCTACATGTACATGTACGTGATCAACTTTATCTGACCGATTCCACACCGCTTCTTTCACAATGCAATCGCATGACCAGGGGGGCGTTTCACAAAGCCTTTTTTTAATGACAAATGACAAAAATCAGTGACAAATCTGCTGATAACTAATCAGAAGCAAGGATTTCAGTAGCTTATAACAAAAACTGTCATTTGTCACTGATGACAAGTTTTGTGCCTGGTACATGTAACTAAGAGTCAGAAGATGAAAGAGTGGATAATTAATCAGTCTTTAATGTTGGGGAAATGGGCAAAAATAGCGTGACCATTGAGACCATTGATTTTTCAATTTTCCCTTTCAGATCGCTTTTCACCGTTATGGTTGAATAATTGAAAAAGTCATTTACTCAAAATAATACATTCCAAATTTCAAGACTCACAGACAAGGCTCAAAATACATGGGGGCGGTGGGCAATTCGCCCCCGTGAGCTACCTAATCGCCTTCTTCAGATTGCTCACGGGGGCGATTAAAAAATAAAAAATCGCCCCAGTGGAATTATAAAATAAAGATTACCTTTTCTGTTATAACTTTCACACAATATTGAGCTTCAACTTTCAAACCTTAAACCAATGAAATGGAAGTTAGATAAGCATGCAGGATTAACCGCTCTGACTTTTCGGTGTCTAGACGCTGCCATATTGTTAACAAATGAACGCTTTTCGCTGCAAGATTCCGCTGTATCTCCCATCTCTATAAGTATTACAGATAGAAACAAACGGAAGCTCGC